AAAGAGCTCCTGACACACACAGGAAGCCCTGCCTTCACCTTGAAGTACGGCTTGTTGGAGAAGGTGATGTCCTTCGCAGTGAAGAGATGCACTGAGGCTAAAACTGTTTTGATCTGATTTAGGATGGAGTTGGACAGTGAGGTCAGGAGATCTGGGAGACTGGGCGGAGCTTCTTTACCAGGAGGGCCGTTTCCTGCTAGAGCCCCGCTTCCCACGGCGCTGGCCCCACCCACCGAGAGCCGCGGGGCCGCCAGTGCCTGCCGGACATCAGTGAGGCTGTCCAGGTAGAAGCTCTGCAAGGCAGACAGGTACTGTTTGATTCTCTCTCTCGCCGCCTGGATGACGATCTCAGTGCCTTGGCTCGGTACAGCAGAGCCAGGAAGGAGTTTAGACACGGCCTGGAGCCTGCGGTGGAACCGGTCCAGCGCTCTGACCAATAAGGAGTTATCTCCGACGCCCTTCTCCTCCTGAATCCGCCGCTCCACCAGGGAGAAGTACCTGGCCGCTAAAGCGTCCACAAACACGAGCAGCTTGCTGTTAGCCATCTGAGGGATGTTTTTGGAGGCCAGCTCACCCTCTTGTGGACGGTTGACGAACAGCTCCTGATATGAGGCGATGACCAGGCACAGATTACTCACAAACTCATTGCAGCCCCGATCAATAAACTCCAGGATATCTGTCTGGGGCGCTGGGGACAGAAAATGACTGGACGTTGAGGATTCGGACGGAGACGTGGGACTGGCTGCAGTGCTTGGTTTCTGGGCAGAGACTTTGGCAGGTGTTGAATCTCTAAGCTCCGCCTCTAGGCCCTGTAGGTCTGCCTCCAACCTGGTTTGGGCGTGACTGAGGAATTTATCGCAGAGTTCCTCGGCCGGTTCGTCCAGCTGCAGGAGAAGCTCCACGCATTCCGACAGCTCCTTGGCGCTCGTACCGCCGTCCCTGAAAACACAAGCATATATAAATACAGAACAGAGCTCAGACTAAACACTGATAAAAAGAACACGGCTCCACTTTTGACTCTCGTCTCTGTGGTGTTTCAGCCCTAAAAGACCCTTTTACATTTTCAAAAAATAACATTCAAAATTCCTGCATAATTAAGTGATTCAGATGTAAACAGAGCGGTTCAGAGCGGTTCAGAGCGGTTTGGTGTGAAACGCTCTGTTCTAGATAAACTTACAGAGTCAGAACTGTTCACAGTGGTGGTGATAGGAACCAGACGTCCACCTCTAAAAGCTCCCTCACAGAAAGTTCCTACATGAAATGGTTATGAATTCACTGCCTGATGACTGAGACACTGTTTTATGATCGTTTTGAGAAGACTTTAGTCTATACAGATGATGCTCAGATCAACTCTCCACAAACAACTATGGTCTCCTTGACTCACTCTAAGTGCTTTGAGCTCATTGCTAACTGAATGGGACAAACCTTTTTTATTCAGGAATGACAATCAGGGGCACAGACTGGCTGCCTGTCTGGATTCTAGAGCCCTAAAATCTAAAGCATTAGTATACAACCTCGGTGTACGAATAAACAGTGATCTCAGTTTTTTTTGCAGGGCATCATAAGGAAAAACAGTCCCCAAAGAAAACTTATTATTTCAGATTTTCCACTATTTTCCATCATCAACATTCCATATAAACTCAGAAGACTCGTGTAGGTTCACTGGTGGTTCTGGATAGTAAATAAAATGTCTATATTTGTGTTGTAGTCATGGTGACCCTCTGGTTCCTATCACCACCACTGTAAAGACATCTGAACCATTTCACACCAAACCACTCTGAATCTCTCCGATTACATCAATACTGAGTCATGAAGTTATGAAATAGTGAATTTTTTTTAAACTGTTGGAAACCTTCAATGATTTCTGGCTTAGAAAAGTCTTTGTTTTTGGCATCAAAGACAAACACAAAAACACTTCTACATATTAAAAACATCAGGTTATAAAATGTAAAACAGGTCAATTTTGGCATTAAAGTGGACAAAACTAGTTCTTTCACAATGATCTCAGTTTGTAGCGCAGTATTAGTTTTACTCTATCCGACCTGAATTTCTGCCTCAGCTGCTGCGCGAGCCTCTCCATGATGGCGTGGCAGTCGTCCTGGATGCCCCTGAAGGACGGCATGTGGCTGTACTGCTGCAGCACGCAGCGCGCCCGGCGGTGGGAGCTGACCGCCTGAGCGTACGCCTGCAGCTCCAAACACTTATTCAGCCGCGCCGGGAGCTCAAACAGGAACTGCAGCTTACGCAGGAGAGTGTGAACGCCTGCACACAGACGGAGAGGAAAACAGGGGGAAAGAGAGACAGAAGATAGAAAACGAGAAGGATTTGAGAGAGAGAAAAAACAGCAACAACAATATTTCAGTATAATTATACACATTCTTAGTTAGTCGTAGGGCTGAAATGATTAGACGATAATGTTGATTTTGGAAAATAATTAAACTTAAAAACAAAAGAGCTCTATAACATTCACATGATCACACAGTCACTCTGACAGACTGTAATACACTACAGGAAGTGTAGGGGGCGATATGGCTTCTACTGTTTCATTTAAAAAGCCTCTATAATGTTCATATGATCCACACAGTCACTCTGACAGACTGTAATACACTACAGGAAGTGTAGGGGGCGATATGGCTTCTACTGTTTCATTTAAAAAGCCTCTATAATGTTCATATGATCCACACAGTCACTCTGACAGACTGTAATACACTACAGGAAGTGTAGGGGGCGATATGGCTTCTACTGTTTCATTTAAAAAGCCTCTATAATGTTCATATGATCCACACAGTCACTCTGACAGACTGTAATGCACTACAGGAAGTGTAGGGGGCGATATGGCTTCTACTGTTTCATTTAAAAAGCTCTATAATGTTCATATGATCCACACAGTCACTCTGACAGACTGTAATACACTACAAGAAGTGTAGGGGGCGATATGACAGCGTCAGGTCCGTTTGTAACTGCGTACCCGACAGTTTGGTGATCTGGGCGTGCTGGTCCTGCAGGGTTCCGCTGATCCGGGCGCTGAACTCAGTTATGGCGGCCATGTTGGTGGAGAGACAGTCCATCTCGTCCTCCATCTTCTTAAAGTCATTCTTCATCTTCCTGATCGTATCTGAGAACAGTAATTAACACAGAACCTCTTTAATTAGAATTAAATATGCTAACGATCGCGTCTGATCAGCTTTATTACTGTTTCCATAACGACTCTGAATGTCAGGTATATATAAAACTGTGAGCACAGAGAGGAAGTAACTGACCTGTCGAGGGTCAGAGCTGATTTACTGACCTGTGGCAGAGATGAATTTATTATAGTTCTCATAGACGAGCGTCTGCATGTCGCTGTCCAGGGATCGAATCTGTTTCACCATGCAGCTCTCCTGATCCATCAGCTCCGTCAGAGAGCACTCCTTCCTCAGCTGCAGCAGACAGACAGACAAACAAACAAACAAACAAACAAACAAACAAACATTTATATCTTTCTCTGGGTGAGGTAAACAAAATCAAGGTGCACATAAATCTATCAAAGCAAGAAAGTTCACAACATCACTCCAAACAGTGACAAATGTACTTCATTAACCAAAATGAAGAGGTTTATTTAATCAGATCTCAGATAAAAGGCAGAGATAATTATTAAAACCGATTAATAAACCGTTTGTGGTCCTTTATGATGACTTCATCATCCATAACATCAATACTCTAAAACATCAGCCTTAACTCTTAGATTTAAAGCAATTACTAAGGTCAATAATGTAGATACTGAAATAAATCTGTTAATGTAATTATTGATGTAAATATGTGGGCTTAATGTTACTATTGAGGTAAATCTGGGTGTTTAATGTAATGAATGTGTGGGTTTAATATAATTATTGAGATAAATATGAGGGCGTAATGTAATCAGTGAGGTAAATCTGTGGGTTTACTGTAATTATTGAGGTAAACGTTCAGATTAACATACCTTACTGAGGTGAATGTGTAGGATTAATGTGATTATTGCGGTAAACATGTAGGTTTAATGTCATTTTTTAGGTAAATATGTGGATTTAATGTAATTACTGAGGTAAATATTTCAGATTAATATACCTTGTTGAGGTAAATGTGAGTGTTTGAGGTAAATGTGAGTGTTTGCTGTACCTTGTTGAGGTACAGCTCTGGGTCGAACTGAGCCCCGTTGATGTCGCAGGGGTCCGGCTGCTCCTCCTGCTGCGGCTCCGCTGCGCTGTAGTAAAGCCGGAGGAGGCGCCGCTTCCGGCCGGGAGAGGAGCTGCCCGACTCGGCCTCCATCTCAGCCGATTACACGCACTAATAACCCGAACACAAACACGGTGCGACCTTTAATGACCAACCGGCTCCCGATAAACTCTCTGACCCGCAGAACCGGACAGATCCTGAGTTCTAGACAGAATTTACCCGCAGACTGACGGAGCAACGGTAACAGGGAAACGGAGTCCTGCGGCCTTCAAAATAAAAGTCCCTCAGGAATAAAACATCCAACTTCCTCTTTCGGCGTCAGATTATTTTAATAATAGTAATAATGTGGCGCGGCGGGCTGTGTAAGGCTAGGAATATATTATTTTTTTCTTTTTAAATGCATACATAACCGTGTGGAATCATTGGTTTCAAAAATATAAATATGTTTCTAATGTGAAGCAAATATTCTAATGGTTTTAAATAGATTGTAAGAAGCTGTGGATTAGATACTAATGGAGACATTAACATATAACAAATCTAATATTCAGAGTCCCTCATATCAAAGAAAATACTAGAATTTACAATTACTATTATTATTAAATATTTACTTTTTTTTACCATCTCATAACTTCCAGCACACTTTACTCATATAAAAATACAGATTTATTCTTTTCTTGTTTGAATCGTTTGAATATCTGATAAATCGTAAACACATGCAATCAGAAATAAACACCACTTTTAAACAGTTTATTACTTTTTCCAAGCTGTATTTTTAAACATACATTAAAAAAGCAATGAAAGCTTTAATATAAATATTGCAATTTGTAAGTTTATTTAAATATTGATATACAAATCCAAATGAAACAATACTATTTACTGATAGGAACAACAGGGAATTAGTAGAAAGTGAGAATAAAAAGTAAAGATGCATATTGTAAGTGTAGTTAATGTTACAGTCACTAAGATCTGGTAGTGCACATTATTATAAAGTCACAGAAAATCCAGGGGTTCTTCATGTAGACAAAAGGAAAAGTGATGAACTCACAGAACACAATAATTACACCATTCAGACACAGTTTATAGACTAGATCGCTCATCTTTCCGTCCAAAACAGGATTTAAACTGTGTTCAAATGCAGATACAACACAAACAGAGTAGCAGACACAACGTAAATACAAAAAGGCACTTTATATTGGTCATAATAGGAGGTTCAATCTTTATGATCACCAATCTGTTTGCAGACACAGGCGCATATGTGACTGTTAGAGATCTATAATACAACATAAAAGTCTTTCTAGCATGTTTGGCATCTCTTATCTGGACTGTAGAGTGAGCAGTGTGTGAACGTAAAGCAAATGAAATCTATTTTAATGGATTTTAGCTGCTGTTCAGAGTGTCTGTACTGCTCTGCTATTCTCTACAGAACTGCGCTGCTATTCTCTACAGAACAAACACTGACTGAGTGGATAAATTAGCAGAAGTGAAGGTTTCGCACTGTTTCAGGTTATTTAATGCGAAATAAAAGCATACATGTTCCACCAAGAGGAGATTAAACGCTAAAGGCTGGTGTCACAGATGCAGATTAAGACTAAGACTGGACTAAAGGGGATGTTCAATGCAAATGAGTACATTAGTACTGAATTCAGTCCAAGACTAGACTTAATCCAAGTTTGGGAAACCAGCAAAGCTAAATGAAATAGGCTTAAGATAGATTCTGATTGGAATTTTCAGTTCCACCTTAAATGAGGCGCCAGAATGTAACTGCTGCACCATTTAAGGTGGAACTGAAAATTCCATTAACAAGCCAGTTGATATTTTTGGATATTTTCTGCAGTGATGTACATTCAGCTCGTACGTAAATGTAGTAAAATCCAATATCTCACTGTAAAGTACCAGGTTTACTCTCAGCTCCATATACAGACATTAACGACTGACGATACGCAGCTGATTGTTTTCTCCTGTTTGCACATTCAGAGTAAATACGGATCAGCAGAGTGATGTCATCAGGTGTTCGGCTCCTACAGCTAAGTTCATGCAGGTCACTTTATCAGAGTTAGAGCTGTAAACATGTTTACATTCGTCACTGAGAGAGCCATTAACATCTTTAGAAAATTCCATCTTTACTCGACAGAAAACACCAAGAATGAACCTCAGAACCTGCATCTGAAAAAGTCCTGCTAAACCGTCGACACACCGAGGGAAGCGGAGCATCACTGTCGTAACAAAACCTCGTAGCACCGATCCGACTTCTCTTCACCTGATGATTCCAATATCTGATCTCAGGGTTTGGGCCGATATGAAACTCATGTCTCTGATGCTGATTTTAAGCAGCTAAAAATCCCAATAACCGATAATATCAGCCAATATAACAGCATATTAATATTTTAGATTTTTGTTTTTATACTTCAGTGGTTTGTTAAATGTAATTAATATGATTGTCATTTGTGAACATTTTGTTCTCAACAGGCAAAAAGGATTTACACAATTACTGGTGGATTGTCTGCAGTATTTATACCACTACAAATAAAAATGTGGGTCAGACACACCAGACGATACTATTGGTCAACTGATGTATCGGTAGAGCTCTAACAGAAACGGTCTGTAACAGCTCTGACCTTGTTTTAAAGTTAAGAACGTCTAGTCCTCCTTCTGTGAAAGTTCGTGAGGTTTTGTTACGGCAGAGAAAACAGAAGTTCCTGTGTTTCCTCAGTGCCGAGTCTGTAAAGCTCTGCAGCAGCAGGAGAGGAAGGTAGAGGCACTGGTTCATTTAGTGCAGCATCACAAACCTCACTGCACTGCAGCTCAGCACTGCAGCTCAGCACTGCAGCTCAGCACTGCAGCTCAGCACTGCACTGCACTGCTGCGCTGACCGTTTGGTTTGGTGGGTTTTGCATAGCTGAGATTTGCATTCAGGAGAGAAACGGAGACGCTAAACTCTCTCTTTCCCTTCAGCTCTTTCACTTCTGCTTCAGCATCTTTCTCTGATCTGAGGAGAGATCAAACGACAAAGAGAGCCATAACTTAAGCTTGTGACATCATCAACATTATAAAGTACATCATTATTCATAAACAGTGGTTCAACTTTCGTTTTTTTTTTTAGTAATGTTGGTCCAGTCTCTGTCCACTCCGACCACAGTGAGGGTGTCGATCTAAAGGGGCAGGTGTAGTTTTGGTCTTCGGGCTGAAGGGGGCAGTGTCGGCTCTCAGCCCTGCTCCAGACTGTCCGTCACCTGAACAGTAGAGTAAGTGGGCGGAGCCTGACGGGAGAAGAAGGAGGCGGCTCTCTTTGGCTTCAGGCGCTTTATCTCCTTACCTGAGAACACAAAGAAACGGACGATGAGCTTCCTATTCAACAGCTTCTTATCCGGATTTTCTGGCCCACCTTAAATGGTGCAGGAGTTACATTCTGGTGTCTGAAATGCAGGAAAATCTGGGTTTTCACTGAACTATTGCTTTAAAACCCAAGACGACACAAAGTCCTAACTTCAAACTAAAGACTCAGCAACACTGTGGAAAAGCTGGAGATATTAATATATTCATATGGTTTGCATTAAATAAATCAATAAATGGACAATGTTCTTGTTTTAAACCAGCAGTAGTTGAGGTTTTATCACTATGGATGTTACAGGGAACTTGGTTACTAAAGTAACCCTTTATCTGTTCTTATACATTAAGGCCCAATCCCCTTTCACCCCTCACCCCTACCACTCAGCCCAACCCCTCTGTTTTACGTGTTCTCGTCTAGGGGTAGGGTGTCCCAATTTTTTGTTGAGATAGAGGGGGAGGGTGAAGTGTTGGGGCTACATGACCCTCCAAACGGAGAGTTACGAGAAAAAAAGGAAAACCAGCAAAATGGAGAACAAGAGACCAAAGAAACCCACAAATGTGAGAATTTTCTCTGTTAAAAATTCAATTTCAGTGTATTTTGGTCCTTTTCTTCATAACAAGCATAATAAATCACTAGCAGTGCTGACGTCTCAGTAGCTAACTGGCTAAACTTCTTGTTACATGGTGCAGCAGTTACATTCTGGAGCCTCAGGCATCAGAACTGCTGCTCCATTTAAGGTGGAACGGGAAAATTCGAAGGAGAATCTGGTGAATATCTGACTTCAGCTTCATATCACTGAAGAATTAGGGGTGGGTGATAATAAATAATTGCCCCCCTCTTTGAAGGCATATGATGCCCTAAATGTAACTAAAGCCCAGCAGTGAGGAGCTGAACTTTACCCTCCTCTGCTGTCACTGCAGACTGGCAGGGTCGCCTACAGAGCAGCGCTGGTAGCTGTTAATGAAGTGATGCTCTTTTTATTTGAGGGTCCCATTTCAGAGGGAAGATCTCAACCACTACCCTGTAACTCAGTTCCAAGGGGCAACACTCAAAAACAAGGGGTAAAAATGAGAAATGGGACGGGGCCCAAACATTTTGCAATTTATACTTAAACTATAAAATAAAATAGACATTTTTCTCAGAAACTGCTAACAAGGTCTGAAACCAGCTCCTCGTTTCCTATGTGGTAAAATCACTATTGCTGAAGTGTTGAGTGACCTGATTAAACCTTCAGTGGATCAGATTTACTGGAACATCACGACGCTGACGCTGCTCCTGAAAACCTCACACAAACAACGACCTTCCTCACTTCAGCAGTGCAGCTGGAGGCCTTTAGGCAGAATAATTCAAAGTGCAAGTGTATGAAATCTTTTTCACAACACCAAATAAAACCAGTCCTCCTTCTGTGCTTCTGCTCCAGGCTGTTTTACTGACTGACCACCTTAAATTCTTACAGGCCTGAAGGCTCACAATTCCGTAACTGCAGGAAACAGAGGTGAAAGTTGGCGTTTGTGAAAAAGCACCTCAGAGTAGCACAAAAATGTGTTTTACAATCATATAAATAAATTCACTTTACTGCTGAAAGCCTAAACGTCCTCAACATCTGAGCATTTAAAGAATGTTTATTTTTCAGCCCTTTTATTTGAAGTGCTGAAATTAAGCTATTAAACATACTTCATACCTCTGAGCTGTTTTTTAAGCAAAATATTCATTAACTATCCCAATTATTTACTTGAATGATCTAACTAATGGAAAAAAGAGAGTTTGAGTATTTATTGTTTATATATATTGTTTATATATATTGTACATATTGTGTGAAAGAGGAACGCAAGTCGTCACAGTCTTTGATCACAATATCTGAATGAGGTACAACATTGTCTTTTCCAATTTATCAGATATCAGAAAAAGTACAGACTGTAACATACTGTCTCATTAAAAGTTCTTAAAGTATTGTGATGTTACACTTTTGCTGTATCACCGAGCTCTAATAGGGGACGTGCACTGCAGCGCCCCCTGTGCTGAGACTAGAGATGAAACAGTTACCGGTTTCACGGTAAACCGCGGTAAAATTAATGACGGTTAGTAGTACCGTTTGAACTTTAAAGTATCGTTAAAACCGCAGTCGATTACCGCGGTGTGAAAAACTCGCTGTACAGAGTCAAACAAAGGCAGAATCATCTCTCAGACGCAGCTCTGTGTGTGTGTGTGTGTGTGTGTGTGTGTGTGTGTGTGTGTGTGTGTGTGTGTGTGTAGAGGGGAAGGGGGAGAGAGTGAGAGGGAGAGGGAGAGGGAGGGGAGAGAGGGGAGAATATGGCGGAATGTAGTGACAGAGATTCTGAGATATTTCAGCCTTCTAAGAAGACCAAGTCTGACGTTTGGTCATGTTTTGGGTTTTATAAGGATGCAGAAGGAAAGTTAATTGAAGATGACCACCCTGTCTGCAGATGACCACCCTGTCTGCAGAACAGGCCGAAAGAAAATAGCGGCGAAAGGGGGCAACACATCAAACCTTACGAGTCATTTCGCGACCACCACCCGCTACTTTAGAGAATGCAAGGTTAACTTTAACGCAGAAGTCTGCGGAGAATAGAAGAGATGTCATGGTTTGTGTGGTTTAACTTATGCTTATGGTTCGTTAATAATATAAAAAAAAATAAATAAATAAATAACAATCGGTGAATCAGCTGTGAATCGAAACTAAAGCTTTTAACACATTTCTGTGGAGCAGAGTCTCCAAAATGAGCTCTGAGTTTACAGTCACACGAGCTCCTGAACGAGACGCTGCAGAAGTTCGATCTGCACAGCTCCCCTTTCTCGTCCCGCTTGCAGTGTTTACTGTCTGAGAGGAGAATAATACCGTCTCAAATCACTCAATGTCCCCTACAGAGGGCGCTACTGTTCAAACAAACACAATCATCATTAACAAGCAGTTGAGTTTTAAATAGGGAATTTGTAACCTGTTGTTAATATATTGTTATTGTGAACGTTTCCTGCATTCTTTGGGTGAAGGATTTGCTATTTCATGATCCACGAAGTGCACTACATAGGGGAGATAGTGTGCTTTGAGACGGAACCTCGCGAGTAAACTTTGTGTGCTGCTTTTAGGAAAAGCAGAGTTTCAGAGATTAAGCTTCAGGAGTGTTTCTGCTGCAGCTCAGATGCGCGTTAATTTTAAGTTATGTTTTAGTTTTAAATGCTTTTAGAGAAGCAGCTCCACAGGTGAAGACACGCTGTGTGAGTTCTACACTGTCTGCAGCTCACAGCGCATCACGCAGTTCCTCTGTGATTTTGGCTGTTTTTCTTGGTGCGCTGGATTGATTAGGGGTTCAGCGCCACATTGGCACAATAATGCTGCAGCTGCAGTTCGGACAGAAATCCCCCGAGTGCAGCACTTCTTAGAAGTAGTCATTTTCCATTAAGACCCACCTCATAATAATAATAATAATAATAACAGTAATAATAATAATAATAATACATTTGCTATTCTTTTGTTTACAGAGTATTACAAGTACTGTAAGTAATACAAAAGTAATACTACAAATGCATTGACTATATTTTTTAATGTTTATTCAAACAAAAAAGTGCATATTGCTGCCAGTTCTATTTGTGCTAATATAAAAGTTGGTGAAACAAGTTTCAGTTTTGGGTACCAGTATTTATTTATTTATTTACATATTTATTTATTTATTTATTTATTTAACTTTTCAAAACATTTGAACAATATCGCGATAATACCGATAATCGTGATGATTTTGGTCATGATAATCGTGATATGAAATTTTAATATCGTTTCATTTCTAGCTGAGACACTGTAGATAAGGTTACTGTTAGTGAACACTCGGCGCAGCTCACCGTCGTCCACGTAGCTGATGGTGCTGAGCGTGTGCACTCGGCTGCAGACCACGCTGCTCTGTCTGCGCAGTCGGCCCCGCCTCTCCTGAGGCCGCTCCCCACCCACCTGGCCCACAGGTGACTGTCCTGCAGGTGTGTGTGAAACAGCGGCGTCTCCGTCAGTCCCTGTGGCCGCTGCCGCATCCCCTACTGACCGCAACTCCACACAGAACTCGATCAGACCGCTCATCAGCTCCGCCTGGACACATCAACGACCATGAATAAACACTAACAATAACAGCGCTAATCAATACACACTGCTCTTTATACACATCCTACCAGAAAACATCATATGACATACAAACCAGCACCAGATTAATTTATTTACCGTGTGGATCATATGAACATTATAGAGCTTTTTAAATGAAACAGTAGAAGCCATATCGCCCCCTACACTTCCTGTAGTGTATTACAGTCTGTCAGAGTGACTGTGTGGATCATATCAACATTATAGAGGCTTTTTAAATGAAACAGTAGAAGCCATATCGCCCCCTACACTTCCTGTAGTGTATTACAGTCTGTCAGAGTGACTGTGTGGATCATATGAACATTATAGAGGCTTTTTAAATGAAACAGTAGAAGCCATATCGCCCCCTACACTTCCTGTAGTGTACTACAGTCTGTCAGAATGAGTGTCACAGAGTGCTTACTGATTACTGCAGCTGAGCTACATGTTTTACCTGTTTGGAGTAAATCTTCAGTAATTTGTTAACATGTGTGCCGTCTTCCTCCCCGTCGAACTCCAGCCACAGGATGTGCGAGTCCCCCTCTGTCTCGGGGTACGAGTGGTCCCAGGACAGCTCGCTGAACCGCAGACCCAGCAGTACATGCTGAGACAGAAAACAACAGATTCAGGATGATTAGGAGCCTCAGGACCCTCTAGATCTTCAGTAAAGATTTCTGGGAGTTTTCATTTTATGTATTTAAACTCTGTATGTTGTAATATTACTTTTATTTCATTTTGACAGAAACACCCAACAGAAAATGATCCAATCAGGATTGTTCTCTCTGTGGTATCCCTGAAGACACAGCTGAGCTGCTCTCCCATTGGTTAGGACTTCAGGAGCTGGACTGAAGGTCTTACATGTTAGATTAACTATCAACGTAATTTGGAAGTGAACCAATCACTCTCTAATTTACAATGAGGTGGGACCAAGAACGTCACACTAGTCCTTCTGGAGGTTCTAGATACGTGACTAACTGTGAATATGAGTCATAATCTAAGCAGTGTTCCAGTTAGTTGTTAGGAATGTAAAACAGCTCTGTGTCAGAACTCTATACTGAGAGTCTCTGTAACACTGATAGACACAAACTCAGATATATGATAACGTTTGCAGCTTCTTATCATGTTTTCAGAAAAACAACTGAACTAGACTGAACGTGAAGAGAACGTTCTGGAGTTTTTAACTATCAAACGTGAGCGCGGCGCACCAACCATTTGTGTTTGTCCCATCGGTGCACTTTGGCCTTTAGATCAATTATACACACAGAAGATTCTTCACAGGTTCTTTAGCAAAGAAAACGGTTGTAAAAAGAACCATGAACACTCACAGAACCCACTGCGTGATTTATGGGTTCTGTGCATCATGAAATGGTTTTTCAGACTGATGGAGAATGGTGTTGTAGATGGTTCTACTTAGCACCAAAAAGGGTTCTTCTGTTGTAACAAGCCTGACATTGTAACAACAGAAGAACCCTTTTGCAATGCAAAGAACCCTTTAATCATGCAAAGGGTTCTTTCTGTGTTCATGGCTCTTTGTAGAACCACTAAGGAACCCTTGAAGAGCCATCTTTTTTTAGGAGTGTAGAGAACCTGTAAACAACCACCAGTGCAGAGTAACTGAGAGCAGCTGATTGGATGGCGGCCACGAGTGAAATGACATCATCATATTCGCTCATTTTTAAAAACTGTTTGCTCTGCTGACGTAGTTTCAGTCGAACCTCAGGGAAACGGATATATGGTGATGCGTATCGAGCACCATGAACTGTGTGGTCATATCTGCTCACAGCTGAACCCGTGACCTGGAGCAGTGCACAGCAGGACACGCCTGAGCAGAGGAGAACCGCCATGTGTTCTAACATACTGACCTTTTGCACAGGTTAGCAGTGAGTTCTGGGTGAATTTCGGAGTCAGGAGGGCACCTCAGTTTAGAAGTGCCGAGTCAGCAGAGCGCTCTGCTCGTAAGCTTGTGAAAGAGGAAGTGCTTCTATGAGGAGTTTATGGAGTTCAAGGCTGAGCAGACGCAGCACGACCCTCACAGTCCAAACACAGTCCCGAAACAGAGCCGCTGACGCTCAGCGTCAGTCTTTCACTGGATTCACTGAACGTTTTTCAGGAGGGTCCGAACACTGGACCAGCGATTCTCAGACTGGGGGCTGCAGAAAAACTTCAGAATCTCTGTTTAGTAAATTTAATTTTCTCAGGTCATTAAATCTGATTTGGCCACGGCTAAAAAAGTGGTGGTTGTTTAAAAATGGTGGATATTATTGAACATTACTGAAACTTATACAAGCCAATGATCACAATTAATGACCACAACACACCCACTTAACGAGGCATCTGTAACACAGAGGAACAGCGGCAGGCAGCTCAGTGAGAGCTGCAGAGACAGCCAGCAAAATGGACACGGTTCTGTAAAGTTCTGCTGGGGGGGAGGGGGGTGGAGTGGGGTATTGTGGGTGACCAGTGGCACTTAATATTTCTAAAGACGGAATTAAGGCTTTTCCACGCTGACTGCAATTTATTTGTGCGACAGTAAATTAATTTGATCCCGTCTATTACTGATGATGTCCTGCTCATCGATTTTTGGACGATTTTGGTGAAAATTTGCCTAAATGGGCAAATCAGGTTAAAATGGTGTTAAAACTGTGCAGCGTACATCTGGCTTAAATCAGACAAGCTTCAGACGCGTGTCTTTATTCGGCTGTCAGGGAGGGAGTGGACGTCCTGAACGGTCAGATAAGAGAGTCTGTCGAGCGTAAACACCACACAGGAAATCAGAGCACGATGGTGTTTTTACAGAGGGCTCAAATAAATACAACCTACAGCAAAACTTCACAGATAGTCAAACAGCTCAGCTTCATCACAGAGGAACGGAGCGCCTGGGCTGATCAGACCAGCAGCTCCACTCAAACACACTTTGTTCCCAAAAAGGAAATGTTGAGAGAATTCAAATCTAACACACACACACACACACACACACACACACACAAACACACAAACAAACACACACACACACACCTCACACACACACTCACACACACACACACAAACACACACACACACACACACACAAACACACACACTCACACACACTCACACACACACACACACACACACTCACACACACACACACACAAACACACAAACACACACACACACTCACACACACACACTCACACACACACACACACACACACACACAAACACACAACAAACACACACACACACACACACACACACACACACAAACACACACTCACACACACACACACACACACACACACACACACACACACACTCACACACACACTCACACACACACACACACACACACAAACACACAAACCACACACACACACACACACAAACACACACACAAACACACACACACACACACACACACTCACACACACACTCACACACACACACAAACAAACACACACACACACACATATTAGCAACCGACTGGGATATCAGGGCTGAGCGATTTGGGGAAAATGTCTAAATGCAGTTTTTGTGTCACTGCAAACGCGACTGAAACTGCGATATACACCCCCTGAATGTAGTGAGCCAGACTGCCAGTGAGTTGTGGTTGTGATGTCACAACACAGGGAGATTTGGTTGCCTCTGATTGTTCTAACTCATCTCCAGATGGTTCAGATGCTCCGTTATAAAGTTTCCCTACTTAAAACTGACAGACAGCCTTTTTGATAATGGAGACAATACATTTTAAAAAATTGCGATTTTAAAATTGCGAATTTAAAATTGTGTTCTCTTAAATTGAGATTTTGACATAAAAATGATTAATCCTTCAGCCCTATGGGACACCCAGCAATTAATTAGCATAACTCAACCACTAAAAGGGCCATATTAAACAATCTCAACAAATCCGTGGGTCAGAGAACACCTGTGTTTTTATTGCTGTCACCCGAACTGACCACTGCTCAAAATTTCAACAGTAAAATATAGGCACTTGCTTTAGAGCTTGAAATATTACATGAGTATTGAAATATTCCAAGTTTAAACGTCCCCAGAAGCTCCGTCTTTTAAACCTACATTTCTGCTTAAACTAGACACAAGTTCATTAACGCTTGGGCTCAATTTCTGAGCTGCTAAAACATGAAGTGTATACTGTATGTAACGTGTGTATGTAATGTATATAATATAGTATGTTGGTCGAACTGCAGCTGAAATGCAGTTAGTGTGTTTGGTGATGTGACTGGTGTGGAACTGTGCAGAATTGTGTAGAATTGGGGTGTAACCGTGGTCCCATAGACTGTTGTTTGAGTAGGCCAGTTGGAGAGCACATTACATTGCAGTGCATGCTGGGGACTGTAGTGCAACACATTGTGAACCGGGCTAATCATAATAGAAAATTAAAATACTTCTGCAGGCCGGACAGAATTGTGTCACGGGCCTTGTGTTTGACACATGGGGCCTAGCAACACGTTAGCAACCACCTGGGATACCAAGCAACAGCCTAGCAACACCTTTAGTTTAGTTTAGCTTCAGTTTAGTGGTGACAGTAGACTGTAGTGGTGATTCTAAACAGCAGCTTGTTCTGCTAGTGCACCTCTGGAAATTCCCATTAACGTCAGTAAACACCTCCTAAGTGCAGAGTGTGAGAGTGAACAGACCTTTTCCTTCGTGTCCATGACGTAAACCCCCTCCAGACTGATCCCCACACTGACGCTCTTCCTCCCGCCGCGGTGCAGGATCCCCTGCGCCGGCTTATCGATCTCACCCACGAAGAACGCACAGCTGCCAGAAACAAACACACTGCAGGTCAGACAGCAGTTCACAACCATGAACGTCACTGTGTTCTCAAACGTGCTGGTGACAGAGGTGAGCGCCTGTAGTGTGGCTTGTTAACTAGTGATCCAATTAATTGTGTTATTTTATCAATTTTTCCGCCCCGTACATATAGATATCATACCCACAGTGCACCTGATTAGAGTCTGCAGATAAAGTTTGTGTTTATTTCATGATTTTTTCCTGATCCTGATCTGAGCGCACAGCGCGCTGTTAAGCTGTGAGTTGTGTGTTCAGTGCTGACCCGTAATAAGGCAGCGAGTGGCAGATGCTGAGGTACTGCCTGAAGAGTGCTGTGGGCTCCTGAGGGCTACTTAGCGAGCGGTATTCCTTCAGCAGGCTCTGCTCCAGCTCTGCGTGACGACTCCCCCGCGACCGCAGGCTCGAGAAAAAACCCCCAGAACCCAAAACCACATGAGCCGGCAGGAAGGAAGATAACTTCTTCTCCCTGGAGCAAAGCAGGAGACAAAACTGAGACTTACAAATAAAACACCAACAACAGCTAGGGGAAGGTGTTTCTAATAAAGTGGCCAGTTAGTGTAAGCACAAAATCAGTGTTTGTAATAAAGTGGCCAGTTAGTGGAAGCACAAGGTGGGCGTTTCTATTAAAGTGGCCAGTGAATGTGCTGTGTGTGCTGAGGGGAGAATCCTCAGCATCATAAAGCTCATGTGATTGTTTTATGTACCTGATGACCGTAATGAGTTTCTGGTCATCCAGCCCGGTACCGCAGTCTAGGGCACAGCTCAGCGCTCCGAGCCGGACCCAGTGCTCCGGATCACAGGGATAACGACCCTCCAGGATATTTAACCGCGCTTCGTCGTACAGAAACCTCAGTACGCCCTCATCATCTATCTGCGGGACACAGAGCAGATCAGGAATTCAGCAGCGTGTCTGAGCCGGTCAGTATCACATAAAGGATTAACACGGAAAATTGTACTTGATGTGGAAACAGGAGCTTTACCTGAAGTTCTTTTGTCCTGGGATAAAAAACATTCCTTTTGTACTGAAGACACGGCTCGTCTGCAGACGGAAATAACAGCAGATTAAACGTGCACCTTCCGCATAGCCACCGAGAGCACGACCACTCACAATCACACAGTCCAATCACGGGCGTTTTCACACTGAAGCCGTTTCCCTTTACTCTGAGGGTTCGGTACGTTTGGTCGAGTGTGGAAGCATTTTTTCAAGCCGGGAGCGGAACAGAGAACCGATCTCTGCTCTGAAATCGTGTGTGATGTTAATGTTAAACCTCTGGGGTCTAATTAACTGTTTCTATATGTGTTTATGTGTCTTTGTGATGATCCAGCTCAGAAATCCAGTTTCTGAATCTGTAGAGTCGCCCTTTCCATTCCATCTTATCTCGAGATCATACGAGACTCACATCCGGAGTTATGAGCCTATGAAGAGGGGCTGAGATACACGTCATCTGCCTCTCACCGTGTGGAACTGGTGGATTGGTGTGTCCGTCTACATTCTGTGTGAAACTGACCAATGGACACTCAGGAAATGACTAAGGACTGACCATCACGCCGGAAACCCTTCATTCTTCATTCAGTCCACATCGGAGACTCATGTGAAACGGCGTGCAGAGAGTTTACAGCTGCTGAAGCTGCTGCGGCGGGTTTCGAAAGTAGTGATGTTCTGTACTCAGAGCTCCAGATCAAAAGGGCCTCATTACAGAGAGAGCTGAGATTGTTCTGAACATCAAACATCAAACATGGCCCTCGGACCCCAGAGGGACGTTTTCATTTTTCCCATTATTTATTACAGCATTCAATATAATAACATTAGAGAGCGGCACGGCGCAGTTTGCATTGGTCTGTGTTACTTTAACTAAAATAATTCCCGTTTGGATCGTATTAAAGCCCTGCTTCATCAAAACTCCCACAGAAGCTCATCCGGAACACCTGAGCTTCATCAGGATGCAAATAACTGACTATTCAGAGGCTGATTTGCATATTTGAGCCCGCTGTGATATCAGTGCAGTGAGCTCTCCCTCACCTACAGAGATGTCCTCTGAGGAGGCGTCGGTGAAGCGGTACAGCAGGTCCTGCCACTGCCGGCACAGTTTATACGGCTGGTGTTTCGGCTTCAGCTGCAGCTCTGAGACGGGAAAATTACAGGAAGTGAGAGAGGAAGTAGGAAGAACACAAACACGTTCCTGTAAACAACAGACACAGACCCACTAACCAGCACTCTGAGCACTGAGAGGGTCATAATAATATTAATAAACATAATAATAATCAGCGCTTTACCGAGTAACGGAGAGCAGAGCCAGAACGCAAACGCGTCCTGATCCGAGTCCGGAACCTGGAGAGTCTGCCGGACCATCCGAGCCAACTCCTGCACACACACAGTCCCCACACCTTCCACACACAGCTGCACCGCACTGTCACTCACCAGGTACACCAACACATCCTGAGCTGCAGAGAGAGAGAGAGAGACAGAGAGACAGAAAGACAGAGAGACACAGAGAGAGAGAGAGAGAGACACAGAGAGAGACAGAGACACACAAAGAGAGAGACAGAGAGAGAGAGACACACACAAAGAGAGAGAGACACACAAAGAGAGAGAGAGACAGGGAGAGAGAAACATTATTCCCAGGAATATTAACCAGCCTGAAAGAACAGTTTTGTGTAGTGCTGTAAAACAGTGTCCATCTCTGCAGGCCATACTGTCCACATACGGAAACTAAACTGCACAAACAGCCGATTTGAACTCTCTGTTTCTGTGTCACAAATCCAACACGTTTACATACATTTACATACATTTACATCAGAGCTGAAAGATGAACGTTTTATACTGAAATCACATTTCAACAAAGTACAATTTTCAAACTGCGAGAGCTGCAATGTTTTAAATTCTAGCCTACATGATCAAAACTTTAACTTCAACCTAATAACTCAGAGCTTGTGAACTGCCTGTAGGTGAGTCAGACCAAACCTCCACGTGTTGTGACATCACAACCATGACTTACTGGCAGTCTGGTACAGTAGACTCAGGGTTCAAGCCTAAAGCCAGACAAAGTGGATATTCTGGTCTTCTTGTTAAACACAGGTCTGAACCTCAATTTATAAAAAATAATCTCAATTTAAATCGCAGCTGCAATATTACTCAAAAAATAATTTGATATTTTCCCCAAATCGTTCAGCCCTAATTCACATTTTCAGCCTATCAATCCCACTAAAACCAAACAATCAGGGAAAATATCTAATTGTGATTTTCTGTCATCACCTGTTTGGGCTATGTCTCCCTGTAATGGACACTGATTGGTTTGTAGAGGAGTGTCTGATGTCACTGTGTGGTCAGTTTGGTCAGTTCCTAAATATCTGGTCTATTTGGGCCAAATTTTGGTCCTTTGGTGCGAGGCTCCTTCCACACCTGCTGTTTTGGTCCAGATCAAACTGAAAAGCCCGAATCTTCAGACCAAACGAAGCAGGACTGAAATCTCCATCAGTTTCATTAGAATTTATGAGGCGGTACTTCGGATCATTTCCAGCTTTCACTGCTCACTTGAAAACACGGCTCCCGGCTCCGCGGTTCCGCGGTTCTGCGGGGACACTTTCACTTCCCTTTTCTGACACAGCTGGCTGATGGTGTGAGGGAGAACAAAGCCATGTCTGACATAACGTGGCAGCCAACATCAGCTGTTCACGCTGAGCTGAAGTGGAGAATTTAGATCGTTGGTGGTTTTTTGTCTGTAACATCAGCTTTTTACAGACATGAGTGCAGAAATCTCAGGTAATGTGATGCTGCTTCAAGTTAGCCGGATATCGGTTTGGGTGACGGCTGCCGTTAGCAGTGCGTCTATCAAACTCAGTCTCCCTTTTAAAGCTATGCTGTCTTTTTAAACGTAAGTGTTCCAGAAACCGCTGTGACGTCGTACAGAGACACCGAGAGACGCGAGCAGCAGTAAAAGGGCTTCAGCACCAGCACAGCACTTTAACTGTTTCAGTGCCTTTATATTGGTCTATGACCACCACAGACCCTGATCAGCGAGACGAACAGGGTTTGGGGTCTCTGTAAACACACGCTGCCCACTCAGGAGGTCTCAGATATGATTAATTATTCAGGATTTCTGTGAGAGGATTCGGCTGTGTAATGTTACAGTAACCCAGAATCTCTTTGGAGAAGAGGCAGAACGTCTCATTTTTGAAATTGCGTAAGTGGCTCCGCCTTTCTTCGTCACACTCTCTTCCTGTCCACACGACTCTGATTCTGATTCTGATTCTGATTCAACTTTCAAAACGCCCACTACTCACGTCTCCTATGCAGGGCAGCCAGTCAGAACGGAGCTCATTATCATATCACTGCTGTCAGAGCAAAACCTCGTATCTCCAAAACGAGAACTTCACAGAAGGAAAAACATCAAATCAAATCACGTTTATTGTTACATCACATTGACACAGGTGTGAAGGTGAGTGGAAATCACAGGTGTGTAGTCCCCTTATAGAGCTTAAATACACAAAATGTATATATATATAAAAAAAAATACATAAATATATACACAAATACACAACATACCTATTAATATACACTAGTATTGCACTATTTCCGACGTACAGTTTTGTACAGTAATGAAATAAAAGCTATGTACAGCTACATTTCCACGTGTGAGATTAGTGAGTCGGAGGTAGATAATGAGCTGCAGTGTAAACATACGTTACTGTTAATGTAAGTCAGTGGAACCAGACTTTCTTCCAACTTTCCTTTTGTCTGTTCATCAAGGAAATTAGACACAGTGTAAAGAACAACAGTCACTTTAAATCACGTCACAAACCGAAAACGTCACGAATGGAGAGACGAGGTTTCGCTCTGACAGCAGCGACATGTCAGTCTTACAGGGGCAGTGAGGCTGTTTGGCTGTGAGGGACACAGAGAGGCTGGAACATCATGTAGAAATGACCTCTGACTGTTTCAAACCAGACGACCCTCATAAACAGACCTGAACACTAAAGCATGTGATAAACGCAGGATACAGGCCCTTTAATCCCGCACTGCTGGGATTATACGTGAAAGAAGCTGTAATACTGACCGCGGGAGAGAGAGGACGCCACGCTGCCGCGGTGAGAGCGAGACAGCTCCGGATCCGAAAACTCACACTCGTCACCGTCCATCTGCAAAACAGCACAGCAGAGAGAACCGGGATTATCTCCGAATAATCCGCCTGGATTACACAACATTCACAGAGAGATCACAACATAAACCCCCTGGATTAAAACACTTCACAAGTGACACGATGTAAACCCCCCACCGACCACCCCGACCACCCCGACCACGCATGCTTAAATGGTTCTCTGCATAGTGAAACTGTTCTTCAGACAGATGGAGAATGTGTTCTAGATGGTTCTATATAGAACCTTTTTGAAAACAGTTCTATGTAGCACCAAAAAGGGTTCTGCTATTGTTACGATGCCAAGCTTGTAGCAAAAGAAGAACCTGTATAGAAGCACATACAACACATTCTCTGTCAATCTGAAGAACCTTTTCACCATGCAGAGAACCCTCTAAACATGCAAACTGTTCTATATCCATTCCCTTTACTAAAGAACCCTTGGAGAACCCTTGTTTTTAAGTGTGTATAGCATAAAAATCACAATATTAACCTGTCTGGATTACATAATTACACAGTTACAATGTCGATCTGTCAAGAATGATTAGCATTTAAAAAGCACTATAAACACACCTGGATTAAACAGCTTAATAAGAAATGTCTGGATTAAATGAACATAATCTTCAAATCACAACATTAATCTGCCTGGATTAAACTTCACACAGCCGCTGCGGCGACAAGCTGGGATTAAATAATATTTACATAAACATCCAGAATAAAATCTTAGAACTAAACAACAACCTGAAAGTCGCGATGGTAATAAAGCTAAATATTCATGTTATATTTATACACAGTTTACTGGTCCTCGAGCTTCACTAATAACCCAGTAAACTTCCACATTGCGTTAAACTCGAGAATCTGTCATACAACGTATTTAAAAATAAGAGTAAGGGTTAAACAGGTGTTTTTCAAGTAAACAAACAAATAAACACACAAACAACAGCGTCACTAACGGCTAACACAGTTCAGTGGTTTCCTATTGGAATTTTCCGTTCCACCTTAAATGTTGCCGTGGTAATATTCCGGCGCTTCAGACGTCAGAACGAAACTGCTGCACCGTTTAAGGTGGAACGGAAAATTCCAATAGGGAACAGCATTAGCGCGCGCGAGCTAACGCAGCTGTTTATGTCTGAAACTCTTCGTGATCTTCAGTCGGTAGGTTCTAGATATTTCTGTCCAGCTGTGCCGATAATAACCGCGCGCTGGATCGATATTAACGGTTTATGTTCCGTTAGTTTTCATTAAATTCCTCAATTCCACATCAGTTAGCCCCAGTTAGCTTAGCGCAGCCGCGCATAAACACCGCTAACTCACCGTTGTCGCTCCGCTGTCGGTCCTCCTCAGTTACTGATCACTGACAGCCGCGCGCCGCAGTATCGATCATCAATATTTCAGCGATCAATACTTTGATTTTCAGCTGTTTTGCAGGATGATGTTACAGAAGCAGCGCCGGAGTTAGAGCCGCACGGCGCTTTGAGCGCAGCGGCCACTGGCGGTCAGAGAGGAAACTGCAGCACCGCGCCCTCCGCCTTCAGCGCCGCCTGCCGGCAGCAGGAGGATTAGCACGTAAATACAATAACACAGAAGAGAAAAGACACTTATAACACAAATATGAGTTATTAGAAGTGGCTTATATTAGTGTGTTCTAGATAAAAGTGGCGTTTCGGTGTTTCCAGTGTGTTATAAGGCACAACCTTAGCGGAACTGTGACGACTTTAAACTGAGAGGAGCAGCCGTGTGATTGTGATGACAGATTACAGGACCTAATTAGAAATGAGACCCAATAGTTTCCACATCTATAAATAAGAACTAAAAATAAAGTGATTTGTGCTGTCAGTCCGTCGCGTTAGGAAACTTGGAGAGAGGAGAGCGATGACGTTACTCTTCTTCTGCAAAACAAATCCCGTGTCTCCCCCTTGTGGCTGACTGGAAGAACTGCAGCAACCCGAAAACATAAACATGAATCCTCAATTAATCCTTCAGTCTTTATTTACAGGAGGATGTTGAGGTTCGAAATCTGATTACTGTGTAAGTTTTCATAACACATCACAGCATCAGACACACATTTAACCCCTTAAAATCTCAGGTTTTTACATCTTAAGGCTTATTATTCAGTAACTGTTACTCTTAAAGGGGCAGTACAGTCGAAAATTAGAGTTTGTTATTTGCAGTGTTGCAGTTTCTGTAGTGCAACATTAAATCACTTATCAAACCTTTCATTGCACAGTTCTTCAGAGAACCATTTCTGTAGATGACGTTTTAAATGATTTAAGATTAAATAGAAAATTTAAAAGAACCTCAATGCAACGTAAAGCTTCCAGGAAGAACACTTCAAATTGTACAGAACCTTTACATTGTGTGAAGGTTCTTTAGAGAACCATTGTTGTAACTGAGATGTGACTGTGTGAAGAAAAGTTTAAAGTTAAAGAACATCCACATTGTAATGTCCACAGTTTAAGAAAGAACCCTAAAATAGGTGTAGAACCTTTACATTGTGTAAAGGTTCCTTAACTCCTTAATGATTCTTTACACTCAAACATGGTTCTTTAGGGAACCGCTGATTCAAAATTATTTTTAAAGTTAAAAGAACCTCCACATAATGTAAAGATTCTAGGAAGAACCCTCAAATAGGTATAGAACCTTTACATTGTGTGAAGGTTCTTTAGAGAACCAATGTTGTAAATTTTAAAGTTTAAAGAACGTCCACGCAAGATAAAGGTTCTTGGAAGAAACCTTAAGTCAGTGTAGAACCTTTATGTTAGGCGAAGGTTCTTTAAACCTTTAAAAGGTTCTTCACAAATCTTTTTTTTTCAAACATTCTACTTCTTCGAAGTGGTTCATCTATGGCATAGCTCAAAGAACCCTTTGTGGAACCTTTTTTATGAGTGTGATTTATTAAGCAAGTCAAAAAAAATATTTCAAATCAGCCCTGAAAACTCCACCCAGAGCAGCTGTAGATTTTAGAAGCTCCTCCCACCTTCAAGATACATCATCAGAAGGTGGTTTTAGTCTTTAAAGTGTAAACTGTCACTCTAGAGACGCTGCAGCGCCGCTGGAGGAGGAGCAGCCGACACGTTACAGCAGATGTAGAGATGGTTAAATATCTAATTTTGGGTGGAGTGTCCCTTTAAGTTAACAGTGTAAGCCTGGACGTTTAAAGGGTCAGTCTAAAATCAGATCAACAGAAACTACAAAATCTGTTCAAACAGCATCAAACTTTATTGAATAAAACCTTCTGGTGGTGAAAACACTGTCAGTCACCTCTGATCAGAGGAAACAGTACCACGGGATAAAGGGGAACCCCACCACATTTTCAGAATTCGGTGTGTGAGATGTAATCAGTGATTCAGAGAGGTTTGGTGTGAAATGGTTCAGATGTCTTTACAGTGGTGGTGATAGGAACCAGGCGTCGCCATGACTACAACACAAATATAGACATTTTATTTACTATCCAGAACCACCAGTGAACCTACACGAGTCTTCTGAGTTTATATGGAATGTTGATGATGAAAATAGTGGAAAATCTGAAATAATAAGTTTTCTTTGGGGACTATTTTGCCTCACAGCGCCCTGCATGTATCCCTCCACCATGAATGGAGTTTAAGTTCTCTAAACTATCATAAAACAGTGTCTCAGTCATCAGGCAGTGAATTCATAACCATTTCATGTAGGAACTTTCTGTGAGGGAGCTTTTAGAGGTGGACGTCTGGTTCCTATCACCACCACTGTGAACAGTTCTGACTCGGTAAGTTTCACACCAAACCACTCTGAACCCCTCTGAACCGCTCTGTTTACATCTGAACCATTTCATTATGCAGGAATTGGTGGAGTTCCCCTTTAAGGCCTGCCAGAAACAGCAGAACTGACCAGTCCACTTACAGAGAACATCATTAACCTCTCTCTCTCTCAGTGATCAGGCGTTAAATCATAAAGAATATAGGTGATCAAATATATCTTTTTCAAATATCTCTATAAAACATTCATAAATAAACAAACAAAATCAGAAAACACACAGAACATCGTCAGTCAAAGGTGTCAAACCTTTAAGGCACTGCGGCGCGTAAGAAAGACAAAATACATTCATCTGAACAGTTACTGACCGACTGACCATCAAAGTCCGGCAGAGACTCATCAGCTCAATCGATCATGATTAACAATCAATAAACGCAGAGCTGAGTGATGCTGGTTTACAGATCATCACGCAGATCCGTCTTTGGCAAAACAAGAAAATACAACACAACCAGCTCCAGTTTAATTGCTGCACAGCAGGTTCTCCAGCAGGTTCTCCGGCAGAACCGAGTGCAGATTAATGTTCAGTGCTGAAGAACGTTCTCCTGAAGGTGGTGATGATCGGGTTTCTCTCTGAGAGGGGTTCCGAAAGGCACTGTGGTGTCCGGTGCTGTATTAGTGACCGGGTCCTGACCGGGTCCTCCAGCGTGTATCCCAGAATGCCCTGCAGTTCCTTACTGCAGCACACACTTGTCCTTGCTGGTGCTGTATTTCCTGCGCCGGAGCTCCAGACCGCGTTCTAACCGCGCGTCCTCCTCCACCGCGCTGCAACACACACACACACACACGCGCGTTTACACAGCTGCGTAAACAAAGAGGCCAAAAACACTTGGAGTTTGTTTGTTTGTTTGTTTATGAAATGTTTAATGTAATCTGTGTGGATCATGATTTATAAACCAACACTGTCCAAAGCTGCCCATAAGGACACTGATTTGGCCACCACAAAGTGACCCTAACCCCCCCAACCCCCCCCTCTCCTCGCCCAGCCAATGAGAGAACAAACATATTTTAATATTATATATGATCCTGTGGGCAGCACCGCAGTGCAGTGGGTGGTGCTGTTACAGCAAGAAGGGTCTGGGTTCGGTTCCCCGGGCCGGGTGACCAGGGTCCTCTCTGTGTGGAGTTTGAACGTTCTCCTCCGGGTTCTCCAGTTTCCTCCCACAGTCCAAAGACAGGCAGTCAGGCCAAATGGTGATGCTAAATTGGTGTGAGTGTCTGTCCGCCCTGCGATGGACTGGCAGTCTGTCCAGGGGGTTTCCTGCCTTCCGCCTCAAAATCCTGATTTAAAACCTTCTATATTTGTATTTGTTTTGTCTTTCTGACCCTCGACCCACCACAGACACTGCACTCTGGCCCCCCCAAGATAAAGAGTTTGGGGACCCCTGATGTAGACGTACCTCTGCGTACATAATTACTACATAATAACTTTCTACCTTAACATTTATTACATATGTTTCCTGATCAAAACAAACTGTTTGTTCTTTTACAAACACAATGCATGTTTGTGTACAGTATGACATGATTTGTGTAAGATGATGCGTTTAATTCAGCTGTAATGATCGTGGAACCCTTTTTGTGCTGTATAGACGTTGTTTGAAAGGTTCTTTAAAGGAACCATATTACAAAAGTTTAACCATGCAGAGAACCAGACACGGCTGTTTGAGCTGTAATGGTCTGCATTCAACCACTGCCTTTACTAAAGAACCTATGAAGATTAGTACAGTAGAAGCAGAACCGTTCTCCGACTGTGCGGAGCGCCCGTGTGCTGATTTGCTGAGACAAACTGCAGTCAGAGCTCATAAACACTGCAGCACTCAGGTTACAGTGAACAGCACGTTTATTAGTGACTCGCTGATCTGGGGACCGTGGGCCGCCGACGCCAGAATACAATGTTTTTACGTACATCTCTGTTGATGCTGATGGATAAACATCCTCTGTAATGCTGATCCAGCAACATAATATTGATTAGTGTAGGGTTATTAATGCAGTAAAATCAATAAAATGTTGATATTTTCGTGCAATAATTCAGCGCCACCTAAACACTTCAGTAAACACAGCAGTCTGAAATATCAGACACGATACAGGTATGATTCCAATATCATCGCGCATCCCTCACAATATTTTCCAATATCCAGATAAAAGTTATTTATCAATACCAATAATTATTATTATAACTGCATCAAACTAAACAGTGTTGTGGTGTTTATCACTTTCTGAACTTCTGCTATTGATATAAGCTTCACATCGTAACGATAGAAGAACCCTTTTTTGTGCTGTATGGAGCAATTTTAAAAAAGGTTCCATATAGAACCATACGGCACGTTCTCTATCATATATGAAGAGCCACTTCACCCTGCAGAGAACCTCTATATAGATATATACACCACATATAGTTCTTTAGTCTTTACTAAAGAACCACTGAAGAATCATCTTTTTTAGTGTAGGACATCCCCCCCTGAACCCCCCCCACCCCAGTGTGTGAAGGTAGAGCTGGACTCACCCTCTCTCTTTGGCGTCCATATCCCTGACCAGCTCGTCCCTCTGGTTGACCAGACTGACCAACTCCTGCAGGAGGAGCTGCTCACGGAGCTGCTGAGCCTGACTCTTCTTCCACTCTACACACACACACACACACACACACACACACAGGCATTAAAGGGGAACTCCATCAACTAAATTATTATATTATGCATATATATTGAAATATGAGCTGGGATAGGCTCCAGCACCCCACCGCGACCCAGAAGGATGAGCGGTTTAGATGATGTATGTATGTATATTAAAATCATGTTTATTGCTATTATTTCTTAATTCAGCAGAAAAACCTCTGCAGGTTTAGTTTGTCATAAACTCTGTGCTAACTGACGTCATGACACTCGGTGGCTACTAGCATCCATTCATTATTAGCTATGTTAGCACGTTTGGTTGAGCTGGTCTTTAAAAACACTTCAGAAGCCTAAGTGTCCCCAGGCGAGTGATGGACAGTGTGTAAGGGGCATTTCTGTGCAGAGCAGCTCCTGACCAGTACCTTCAATTGCCATCATGGCCCTCAGCTCTCTGGTCAGCAGCTCGAATTTTCTCTCCAGATCCTGCTCCTCCTGCCTGCAGGAACACCACACAAACCCACCGTCATCACCATCGTCCAGTCAGTGTCCAGATCAACAATCAGACAGTAAGAATGTTCTGCTCTTACAGAAGCTCCAGATAGTCCTGTCTGCGGATCAAAGCGTTCTTCTTGTTGACCAGAGTGAACCACTCCTGGATCAGCTTCTCCTCCTCGTCTTGATCGCTGCCTGCAGAACAGCAGAGAACCTCCACACAGTCCTCAGAGCGTCAACACTGCAGGTCCTTTAGAGAACCTTTACACTGTTTATGTTATGTGCACCCATCACCTATCTCACCATCTCACTGGCCTCTGTTCCACTGTTGAGCCAAATGGTTCTCAGGGCCGTACTGGGCCGTTCTGCGCTGGTTCAGACTCGTGAGAACAGTTAAGTCGGGGTTACTCTACATGACTTTTACCCCTGATTTAGCCCTGATTCTCAGTCTGAGTCTGAGCTGGTCAGTCTGCAGATGTTTGGGCCAGTCTGAGTCAACAGTTGGAGAGAGAGTGTGGGGGCGCTGACTCAGATTTACTGCCTCCCGATTGTGTTTCAGACCAGTCAGAGTTTATCAGACATGCTTGATTTTTTCGACCCGACTCTGAGTGTAATCTAGCGTAAACTGGTCAACGACTCAATCTGAACAGTCTCCTGTAACAGCCAATGAAAACTGAGAGCACGAAAGAGGAAAATACAGCAAGTAAACAATAAAAAAATGGTGAAAAGTCTCTCTCCTGTGGAGCGAAGCTTTTTAATGAGCTGAGTTTAAAACACAATCGAGTTTTTGTACATTTAAAACTCTAAAAATACCGACGGATCACATTTTTAAATCCATGATCCTCAATTAAACACGTTTACCTGCTGCTTCTTTACTGTTTCAGCGCAAACGGCAGAGAAAACAGCAGCAGCAGCTCCAACTTCTAGTAACGGAAGAACGAGAGAGTTCATGCGAGTTCAGTGAGTTCAGTGAGTCATTCGGTTCAGCAACTACGTAGAAGTCGAGTAGTGTGGGATCCCTAATCGTTTAGTGTGGATCCCCAATATTTCAGTCACCCAGAAAAATCTGCAAACACCAGTGCGACAGTGTGAGACACCCAGTCTGTTATCATCTGTTAAGACTGTAAAAGGCGTGTGGTGAACGGTGGTGAACGGTGGTGAGCGGTGGCTTTACTTGTTGTTTTCTGTTGTACCACTAAATCAGAAGAAAACTACACAAATGAGTGGCTAACCGCTAACAGGCTAACAGCTACACACACCACCCACCACTAAACACGTTTGGTTCTGTCTGTCACTCCAGCTCCGGTCTGTCTCTCGGCTGCTCTCAGGTTCTTTATCCTCCAAACGGGAGTAATTTGAGGATCTGTTACTGAAACAGTGCTAGGTGGGTTTCACCTGTAGCCGGATAGCTACACTAGCGTTAGCATCGCCAGCAGAGTTCAGCTCAAATCTCCACAGAACAGTTCTATTTTTTTCTTTCTGTCGCTTCAACACCCGTCATTCGAGGCTGCGCTCTCAGATACCAGTCTTTATCCTCTAAAAGGGTGTTTTTAATCATCAGTTTGCTAGAACCGAGCCGGTACTGCAGTGGGAGGCACAGTGCACTCGTGTTAGCTTAGCCTAGCAGGCTGCAGCTTAAAGCACTACAGAACAGGTCAGACTTCAGCGTTCTGTCACTCCAACACCGATCAGTCGACTTCACTCTCGCTGTTAAAGGTTTTATCATCTATACTTGTGACATCAGAGCAGCTAGAAACTGGTGTCAGATTGAAGCTTTGATGTTTATTGAATGGTGTGTTTAAAATCCTGCACTGCTTTCATTTATTAGCCGTCTGAGTGAACGAACTGAACTTATCTGACTGTTTTCGGGTTTGAAATAGCGCAGCAGGATACGGTGCATAATACCGACATAAACAGAGAACCAATCGGCGAATAGCTACGCCGTCGCGCCATCACACTGAACGGTTCTGCGGCCCTGAGTCCGGTTAACTAACCGTGCCAAAAAAACGGGCTGAGCCTGGTTTTTAAGCGTTCTGTGTCTGTGTGGAAACGTCACTGGAACAGTTACCCTCCGCGCTCAGAACCAACCGGCCCTGCAGTGGAAGAGGCCAAAATCTGTCTCTCTGCATCTCACCATCTCTCTCTCTCTCCCCCTCTCTCTCTCTCTCACCATCTCTCTCTCTCACCATCTCTCTCTCTCTCTCTCTCTCACCATCTCTCTCCCTCTCTCTCTCTCCCCCTCTCTCTCTCTCTCTCTCTCTCTCTCTCCCCCTCTCTCTCTCTCTCTCTCTCACCATCTCTCTCTCTCCCTCTCTCACCATCTCTCCCCTCTCTCTCTCTCTCTCTCTCTCCCTCACCATCTCTCTCCCTCTCTCTCTCCCCCTCTCTCTCTCTCTCTCTCTCACCATCTCTCTCTCTCCCTCTCTCACCATCTCTCTCCCTCTCTCTCTCTCTCACCATCTCTCTCCCTCTCTCTCTCTCTCACCATCTCTCTCTCTCTCTCTCTCTCTCTCTCTCTCTCTCACCATCATTCTCTCTCTCTCTCTCTTTCTCACCATCTCTCTCTCTCTCTCTCTCTCTCTCTCTCTCTGTCTCTCTGTGTGTGTCTCTCTCTCTCACCCGTCTCCATCAGTCGTCTCAGTCTTTGCTCCACCACGGCGGCTCTGCTGTCGATGTGTTTCTGTTCCGTCTCCAGAGCCTGAAGCTCGCTCAGAACATACTGACTGGTATCCTGCAGACGCTGACCACAAACAACACGGACAGAACATAAACAACAAACAAACACCACACAGACAGTACATAAACAACAAACAAACAGCACACAGACAATACATAAAAGCAACGAACAAACAAAAACAATGTATGGACAGTACATATATAAAAAAGATAAAAAATACAAATAGCATACAGGCAGTACATAAAAACACAAACAGAGCGAGAGAGAGAGAGAAAGAGAGAGGGAGAGAGAGAGAGAAAGAGAGAGGGAGGAGAGAGAGAGAGAAAGAGCGAGAACAGAGAGAGAGAGAGAGAGAGAGAGGGAGAGAGAGTAACAGTAACACAGCGACAGTAATTACAACACAAACACAGAAGAGGAAGAGAGGAAAGTGCAGACGCTATTTAGCAAAAAGAAACAGTACAATAATCTGAGAAGAGACACAGGAAGGTCAGAGAGAGAGACTGAAGATCTACTGACCATACTGTCCTCCTCCGCTGGCCGGGACCCACTGTCCACCTCACAGCCCTCTGTAAACACAGCATTCACATAAACATCCAGTCAGAAAGAGAGATAGAACCATTCTGTTAAACACAGCTAACAAAGCTCAGAGGAACAGCAGAGAAACAGGAGAGGAACGGCAAAGGAACAGCAGAGGAACAGGAGAGGAACAGCAGAGGAACAGCAGAGGAAAAGGAGAATAACAGGAGAGAAACAGCAGAGGAACAACAGAATAACAGGAGAGGAACAGCAGAGGAACAACAGAGGAACAACAGAATAACAGGAGAGGAACAGCAAAGGAACAGCAGAGGAACAGGAGAGGAACAGCAGAGGCACAACAGAATAACAGGAGAGGAACAGCAAAGGAACAGCAGAGGAACAGCAAAGGAACAGGAGAGGAACAGCAGAGGAACAACAGAGGAACAACAGAATAACAGGAGAGGAACAGCAAAGGAACAGCAGAGGAACAGGAGAGGAACAGCAGAGGAACAACAGAGGAACAACAGAATAACAGGAGAGGAACAGCAGAGGAACAGGAGAGGAACAGCAAAGGAACAGGAGAGGAACAGCAGAGGAAAAGGAGAATAACAGGAGAGGAACAGCAGAGGAACAGGAGAGGAACAGCAGAGGAAAAGGAGAATAACAGGAGAGGAACAGAAGAGAAACAGCAGAGGAACAGGAGAGGAACAGCAGAGGAACAGTAGAGGAAAAGGAGAATAATAGGAAAGGAACAGCAAAGGAACGGCAGAGAAACAGCAGAGGAACAGAAGAGGACCAGGAGAGGAAAAGGAGAAGAACGGGTGAAAAACAAGAGAGCAACAGCTGAGGAACAGCAGAGAAACAGGAGAGGAACAGCACAGAAACAGCAGGGGAATAGCTGGGGAACAGCTGAGGTACAGCAAAGAAACAGGAGAGGAACAGCAGGAGAACAGGAGGAAAACAGCAGAGTAACAGGAGGAGAACAGCAGAGTAACAGCATAGGAACAGGATATGAACAGCATAGGAACAGGATATGAACAGCAGAGGAACAGGATATGAACAGCATAGGAACAGGATATGAACAGCAGAGGAACAGGAGAGAAATAGGAAGGAAACAGGAGGGGAACAGAATGGGAACAGCAGAGGAACAGCAGATGAATAGCAGAGGAACAGCAGATGAACAGCAGAGGAACAGCAGATGAATAGCAGAGGAACAGCAGATGAATAGCAGAGGAACAGCAGATGAACAGCAGAGGAACAGCAGATGAACAGCAGAGGAACAGCAGATGAATAGCAGAGGAACAGCAGATGAATAGGAAGGCAACATGTTCACTGCAGTGAAGCTTTACAGCTCATCCCTAAAACTGGAGATGATATGAAGATGATATAAAGACACTGTAGTTTACCGGATTGACCTGCAGGGGCGCCAGACTCCTCAGCTTTTACCTGCTGTCCAAAAACACAGAGAAGACACTCAGACAGAACAGGAGCTGTAGGTTTATATGAATCATCTCTGACATGGAGGAGAAACTGCAAATAATCAACTTTCGATCTCAGACGACGTTACAGTCTCTGAGCAGAAGAGGAGAAATTTTATCACAATCTGAATTTGATGAAAACTTGTTTTGCAGAAAGAAAACTCAAACCAGTCCGCACAGAATATAAATCCAAAGCACAAAGGTGAGAACGGTTCTGCGCTTTAAGAACACGTCATGAATCTGACGGAGACTTTTTCTTAGGACCAAACTTAATTAATTAGTCCTTCACTAATCAGACCAGTGAGAGCTTATTAAGGATTTGCTTAATCAGAGTAACACTAAAGCACAGCTGTGTGTGACATATTTCTATTTGTGTTTTCTTTGCTGTCCAAAAAAGTTTCTGCTCTCTCCTTTTACGTCACCGTGTTGGAGGCTACAGTATCAGTGACAGTGACAATATCAAATAATCGCAGCAGCTACTCTGAGATTAAACGGCAGAAACAGCTGAAAAGTGTTGAATGAAAGAAATATTGCATTGATTACATTGTTTTTGTTGGTAATTATTAAATGTGGCACAGCTGGTTCTTTTTTGTCTCTTTCAATTTATCAAATCGCAAAAATTATAAATATTGTGACGCACATTATGCACTGTAAGAATATTGTGGTATTATATTATAGTCATAGGGTCCATCTCTGTAATCTAGGTCTGGGCAATATGACGATATTTATTGTCAACATGATAAATTACATCACAAAACACTGCCCAACTGCATGTGTGATTAAAAAGAGCTGAATTAATCCTGTTTAATTGGATTTACTGCAGTGTGTGAAATGTTTTTCTGAGTTTTTCAGTTTTTTTGATGTGGTTCTACTTTGTCTTTTCAACCTTATCAGATCTCAGAAAAAGTGTTGTGATATTATGTTTTTGGCACATCGCCTACGTCTATTAGACGTCACAGGAAAACGACAGTACTAAGTCCAGACTCTCAGAGTCACTGTGACTCGCTGACCTTGCTGTGCTGCTCCTGATGGTCAGGCTCCTCCCCCGATTCTCCTTTACTCTGTGCTCTGTGTTTCTTCAGCAGGTCCGCGTCCCTCACCTGCCCCAGGTTCAGCTTGGACGCGTTCGGCCGGGGCGGAGCCACAGGTGTCTGCCCCGCCTCTGGCCTCTTCTCCTCTGCCCGGCCCACCCGTTTGGCCCTGGGTGGGGGCACCAGGCCTCCGTTCGGTTTTGCGTTCTCCCCCTGCGCGTGCGTTCCATTGGCCTCCCCTGACAGAGCTCCGGCCTGCAGCCGCTGGGCGCAGAATCGGGCGGCGGCATCCACATCCGGACCACCGGGTGGCTCCGCCACGCCGTAACTGGTCTGGCTGCTGTTGTGCTCGATCTGCAGCACGCTGAGCTCCTGACCGGTGAAGTGCGTCCGGATCTGGCTCAAGTACGTCATCACGATCAGCCGGTCAGGAACGGACAGCAGGACCATGTCGGACGGCTCCAGCAGACGAGAGATACCAAGAGCAGCGAACTCATCAAACGCCTGAACACAATAGGAACATTTTCACTCTGTAATGAAGCGTTTATTAAAATCTTCAGTGATAAAGACGGACAACGTTACTCACTTTCTTGTTATTGAACTTGATGTCGTGAGGCTGCAGCGCATCAAAATCACTGAGAAACAACATCAGAACACAGAATGACTTTATTTATACATTAATTTATAAATACTCACATGTATGGCTGGGGGCACCAATATTTACTGCTAATTATCCATAACAGCCATTAAATAAATCAGTAGAAATCATCTTATTTGTTCTTTCCATTTTGTTTCCATGAGCACTGTGCACTCCGATCCACTTTTCCAAGACTCCAGTCCCAGTTTTACATACACATCAGTGAGGCTCACAGTGGAATTCCATCAGTAACAGTATTATAGTTTAATGTTTTGCTGATTTTTATGGATTTAACGCACAGAAAGCTTCACATCAAGTCCAATGCACTGTTTTATTTAACATTGTGAACAAGAGAAGATGCAGAGGAAGAAATGGAGTCATCAAGTAGTAGCAGCAACAAAGTTTACCAGCCCATTCTGCTAAAAAAAGTTCAACAGGAGCCTGACGCTGCATCATGCCTTAAAACAAGGGAACGAAGTGTGAGCGACGACGAGCCCGTTTGTTTTGTCTGTGTAACTCTGACTTGGTGTGAAAAGGCTGTAAGGATTTGTTGCCCCCCGCTGGCTTAAATGGGGACTGACCTACATACAGTGAACATGTACTTTTGTAAAATTCCTGTGGTTATAAATATTATAAACTGATATGTAGCAATAATTTTATCCCTTTTTCAACACTGCTTATGGCCCCAGCTTTACTGGTACTTTCTTCCCAAACTGCTCTGAGAGTATTAACAACAGGAAAAACCATGAAAGCAGGAAAACGTTCCAGGTCTGTGAAATCACTCACATCTTGTCGGGGTGGAAGTGGTGCAGGATGGCGCAGAACGCCAGGCCGTTCCTCCAGGAAGTGTTGAAGTTAGTGACCTTCACACCTTTGTAGTTCTTAGTTATCTCCTGACACCACTGCAGCAGAGACTGGCTGGAGGTCACCAGACCAGGACTGGGGAGAGGAGAGGATCTCTGAGGAGGGGTGGGGGGCAGAGAGACAGAGACAGAGACAGACAGAGAGAGAGAGAGAGAGAGAGAGAGAGAGAGAGAGAGAGAGATGATTTTCTTCTAACTCTGCGTTTTAATGATCTCAGACGCTGCAGACTCGATCTCCACCGCCCCTCTGATCACCTTCGTGTGTTAATGTTGATGATGAAATATTACAGTGATGGTGGTGAATAATGAGGAGGCGGAGCTGAACGTGTGTCTGTTTATTAGGAGGAGTAACGTTAGCGCGCTCGGCTAAAGCGTTTGGGAAACGGAGACTGAAACTGGGGAGCGGCGACGCTCTGATAAACAGCAGGGGGCGCTCTCACAGTATTCACTACTTACAGTTTATCACACTTTAGTTCTGTTTGACCTTTTTTACATCAGTAACAGCAGCTTAACTCACATTTTAACATTATTCTGATTGTGTTTACATTTCAGCTGTGTGTTTATGGTTGGTTGCTAGGAAACTGACATGACAGCTGATTGTCGATTTGAATCAAGTACATTAAGATATCCCAACTGGAGAGGAGATGCTGCAAGACAAGATAAAATTCCTAAAATAAGATCAGATTTTCCTCCGTAATACAAATTTGTGAAAAATCTTGACCTAAAAGATCTTAAGACTAAAAGAGAGAAAGTTTCTGTAACAGGACCCCAGATTTATTACATACTAAGGCTTATTACTCAGTAACTACAAGGACTTCAGTGCAAACTAATGGAGCTATTCCTAGGTTATAGAGGTGTGTAATAAAACGTTGGCTTGTTAAGGGGTTAAAGTGCAAAATTCACTAACAAAGTGTGTCTGGCTATTTATGGACAGAAACACTGCAGTAATGCTCACCTGCTCAGGTGCTGGTGCGTCTCCTCCTGATTCTTCTGGCTTCACCTCCTCCAGGCTCACCGGTGGTGGGACTGTTTTCTTCTTGCTGCGTTTGAGGGGCAGAACAGCTGGTGATGTTTCTACAGTCGGGTCAGTCTGGAGCTGTGGGCTCTCTGTGGAAGGCTGACCCTCAGCGTGTCCAGCAGATGCAGCTTCAGCAGTTCCTGAGGCAGGTGATCCAGATAAATCCTTTGGCGACATTCTAGATCTGCGAGAGAGAGAGTGATCGACATTAGAGTTTACGGCACATTCTCAGATGAGGAATATTTAACTTGCAGTTTCACTCTGTGGGACTCCATCACTGTTTCAGTGCAATTAAATGTCTTCGCCTTAACATTACTTAACATACTACTAATGAGAATAAGATACAGTAATAATAATTATTTCAGTTTAATCTGAAAAAATATATGGTGTGAGTGAAACCTCAAAATTTACAAAAAGGCAAAATGGTGTAAAAACTTTTTCAAAACTTGTCCATAATTAATTGGTTAAGATGTAATCAGAGTGGTTCAGAGCGGTTTGGTGTGAAACACTCTGCTCTACCGAGTCAGAACTGTTCACAGTGGTGGTGATAGGAACCAGACGTCCACCTCTAAAAGCTCCCTCACAGAAAGTTCCTACATGAAATGGTTATGAATTCACTGTCTGATGACTGAGACACTGTTTTATGATGGTTTAGAGAACTTAAACTCCATTCATGGTGGAGGGATACATGCAGGGCGCTGTGAGGCAAAATAGTCCCCAAAGAAAACGTATTATTTCAACGTATTATTTTCCATCATCAACATTCCATATAAACTCAGAAGACTCGTGTAGGTTCACTGGTGGTTCTGGATAGTAAATAAAATGTCTATATCTGTGTTGTAGTCATGGCGACGCCTGGTTCCTATCACCACCACTGTAAAGACATCTGAACCATTTCACACCAAACCACTCTGAATCTCTCTGATTACATCAATACTGAGTTATGGGTGGATTTCTAAGAATTGGTGGAATTCCCCTTTAAAACCAATTATATCAAAATCATATCAGTATTGTTTATATTTTATGATATTTCATGCCAGTGTTTAATGATGCAGAATGTTTAGGTGGCGCTGAATTACTGCAATAAAATATCTGCATTTTATTTAACTGCATTCATATTAGAAATGTTATTTTTGTTCAAGCTAATTCTCATTAATATAGTTCCAATTTCTTAAAGTTCAAGCATCAGTAAATATGAATGTGAAAAATATCAGATGATTAAATCGGCATCAGTATATCGGTGCATCACTACTTTAAACGGAACACAGACAAACACACAAAAACAAACATGTTTTCAGACATGGCGAGACATTCTGATCCACATTTAGAGCTGATTCAAAGCTGTTTCCTCTTTGGCGAACAGATTTCTTATTGAGCCACTTCCTGAGATAAAGATAAAAGCAAAAGTGATCATCATAAGCAGATCTTATGACCTGTGAACCTGTGTTATAGCGACATGACAGCTGTGGAAATCAATCTGCTTCACAAACACCAGCAACAGAAGGTACAGGTTTCAAAGAACATCCAAAGCACACACGAGTCAAACAAACGACTCTGAGGTTTAGTAAAGAGGCAGCAGCAGGATTTTCTGTTAAGACTACAATGAGCACAAAACACAGAACGACTTTACTCAAACTTACAAATCATCCAGATCTGCAGAAGCTGTCAGTGTTTCTATATGAGCCTCTTCGTTTTTCACCTTCAAATCAAGCTCCTCTGGTCTAGCCCTGTTTGCTGCTTCCTCTGTCTGGTTGGTGGGAACAGTCAGGGGTGGAAGGCCAATTTCAGCTGCTACTGAATTTGCTTCTATGGGGACATTTTCTTTGGACTGTTTTGGACTTTCTGAAGCCTCATCATCATCTCCTGACACCAGGACCTTCTCTTGGTCATCCCCTGATACTGTGGCCCCCAAGACATTCTTGTCTGATGACTCTGTGGTCGCTGGAAAAATCTCAGATAGGCTTTCAGACTGCCTCTTTTCATTTGTGTTCAACTTGGCAACATCTACACCAGCTTCCACAGAGGTCGCCGATGTTGGTATTTCGGTGACTTCAGCAGCAGGAAGCTTATTCTGGTCCACAGAGAGATCGGACCATGTGGTGGTGTCTGCCTTGAGTTGAAGGGGTGGAGTTGGGGGGAGTTCAAAGTCAGACTCAGAGGGAATGAGACGCCTCCTGGTACGAGGAACCGGAACAGGAACGTTCTTTTCCTCAGTGTCTTCAGTGTCCTGTGCCATTTGGCGAATCTTCTCCAGCAGGATTTCCTCTTCCAAAACATCGGCAGGTTCTTCAGTAGCTTCTTTTAAAAGCTCAGGAGGTTTCTCAACCACGGACCTCCTTGGAGAGACATCCTTTCCTGAGCCAACCGCCCTCTTCACTTTCACACCTTCTAGCTGTTCTTCAGCTTTAGTGACTACTGCAGCTGTGGCCTCAATCAGGGAACTCTCTTTCTTCTCTTTATCAGTGCCTCTGTCAGTTACACCCATGCTAACCTCAACAGCGCCTTCCGCTGGTGAGGAGACGCTCAATTGCCTTAGGTTGTCCTCATCCTTACTTTTGCTTTCCTCCTTGGCAGGCGTTGTGGTAATATCTTTTTTTTTATTGCGCTGTAGAGGAACTGGAGCATTGCCAGTTGAAACAGGCTTCATAGCATGAGGGCCAACTTCCTGTGAAGGCACTGGATGGGTTCTCTCATTCTTTCCACTTTGAAAGGATGGAACATTGGCAGCTCGTGGAGAAATGGGCTGCTCTGCTGGAGATTCTTCTGATATTGCTGCAAGCTTTGTACTGACCAATGCAGCTGGCAGGACAGGAGAAAGGTCCGGTTCTACCAGAGGTGATTCCTTTGGGCTGTGAGAAACAGGATACCAGTGAGGAACGAGAAGAATATGACCATGCACACCGCAAGCAATATTAAACAAACACCACTTTCTGAAAGCCAAGGCAAAATGGGTGCAAACTTTAAGCACAAAGCATGTGAAGAGCAGCCCTACAGGTAAATGGACAGTGCTTTTGCGTGGGTACCTCAGCACACTGGAGTGGAAACAATGAAATGAAACAATGAGGCCAGGAGGATAAAGTGCAGAATATCAGCTTTAATTTGGGAGTATGTACATTTATATTGGAGGAACCATATGAGAATCCCAGTCCTCTATACAGTCTTCTCAGTACTGGGGGCTAAAAGAAAGAAACTGACAAGCCTAAATCAAATTGTGGTTAGTAGAAGTCGCTTATAAATCATTTGTGGTTGATGACCCACAGACGCTGGTTATCCCCCCTACAGATGCTCTGCCAGGCCTGCAGATGCAGCCACTTTCAGTTCCTGATTGTTTTGTCTTTTCTCCTTTCGTAAGTGAAATACGTCCTCAGGAAGTTTTGGATGGTTGACTTGCTCACTTTTTAACCCTGATTACCTCGTGTTTAAGTAATATGCTTGGGGTTACTGTCCTGTTGCAAGACAAATCTCCTTCCACTGAGTTTGGAGGCTTCACCAAAACAGGCTCACACACCACACTGCACATTCAACGTACTTTGCTTTAGATGAGTTCCTTTATATCATCCCTCATCTACAAATTCCTCTATCTATCACTCTGGTGCAGGTAAAGCTCATCTGCCCGTAAGACTTTGCCTAAAACTCCACTGGCACTTATGCACTTTTTCACAAGGTCTTTTAAGGCAGAAATAACACCCTTCCTGAGCGGGGAACACAGGAACCCCTCACCAAAATCAGCGAAGAAGAACAAAACCCAACAATCATTCACCATTTTTAAGTGCAGGTAAGCTCATCTGCCCGTAAGACTTTGTCCAAAACTCTACAGGTGTTTATGCTATTTTTTACAAGCTATAACCTGCAACCTGCTAATGATTTGTGTATCTTGTGGTAAAATAATTGCGTGTTCTCTGAACATGCTTCTTGCGTGATGCATTGTGCAACTTTTTTCCAGCTTGCAGCTAAAGTTTCAAAACCATCTTCAATGATTGTGCAGGCCAAAATGGCGCAATTCCATCTCAGGAAGCCACTGCCCAGCAACCATGCGTGAAAGATTCAAAGAACTCCTGCAATACATGCTCAACAACCCTTCAGCGATTTTACACAATCGGTCTCAACATCAGGAGCGTCCACAGTTTCTAAAATGCACAGGAAAACGTAGAAACTTGTCAGAACGAGAAGCCGACAGGACGTTGCGCAATACATTCGTTTATCACATGCATTGTTAAGCTTTAACACTTTTGCAGGGGAAACAACAACAAGAACTTTGGGTGCTCAGCATCCACCATGTTAAGCAACAGCCGCACCAAACACCCCCCTAAAAAAGCCAGCACAGCACATGACGGCCTTAACTTACCCATCATCCATATAGAGCTCAGCCAGCCATACAGTGCCCACATCCTCCTGACCTGACTCGAACTCCACCTCGTCCTCCAAAGCTTCAGACAGGAACACAGGCCTCAGAAGAGTCTCCTTCTTCTCTTGGCCTTCACCTTTATTCCCAGGTTCATCTTCATTAGCTTTTCGTAAGCACTCTTCACTCGCGATCATATCGAAATCCACTTCCTTCAAAGGAGGAAACTCTTTCGTGGAGGACACCCCAAGTGCGTCCTTGTTGTTCACGCTTTTATCAGTTTCTGGAGTCGTTGATGGCTCTGTGATCTTCTCAACATTCAATACTGCATGTTTGTTTTCTTCAGGCTTTGGTTCGTCTCTCCTGGATTCTATTGTTGGTGGTTCCTCCATCTTTTCTTCAGGTGCTGATCTCACACTGGTGCTTGTTTCAGGCTCTGGTTCATCTCTCTCTATTTCATTTTCCAGTGCTGGTGGCTCCTCCATCATCTTTTCTACGCACACTGTTCTCTTAGTGATGCTTGTTTCAGGTTCTGGTTCAGAAACTCCTCTTCCTCTCTCAACCTCTGAGGCAGCCAGTCTCAAACACTCCACCAGGCTCCTTCCTGTAGGCTCTGCTGGAGGTTTCGTCTTGCTTTCCTCACCCAAAACAGAATCTTTGTTGTCTTTAGCAGCTTCAGGTAGGTTTGTAAATGCAGTGTCACAGAACGGTTCAGGTGGACGAATTTCAATCTCAGGGGCTTCCTGGTCTCCAGCTTCTTCATCGTCAGGTTTGGTGGGTTCTGCAGGGCTTGGCTGGATCAGTATGGAGGCCACTGTCTCATAACTGGAGAACAAGGAGATTCGAACAAGAGCAGAGTTCAGAATTCACCACAAGCACATTGTTTCAGGAGTCACAGCAGGCATTGCCTCGAGCATGTACCTCTGAAATGCCACGGGTGAGATATGCACACAGTGCACAATGCTGAGTTAATCTACTCTACTTTTAAACCATCCACAACAAATTTCAGCGCATGCAACAGCCTCAGTTAGTGTTGTAGTACTCAAGTCCAGTCTTGGTCTCGAGACCATAAACGAGTGGTCTTGGTCTCATCTTGGTCTCAGCCTCATTGGGACTTGGTCTTGTCTGGATCTCAGTTTAAGGTGGACGTCTCGAGTCGCGTCTGATGCCGCGTTTGAGGGAACTAGAAGCTGAATTATTATTGAATATCAATAAAACTAGAATAAACAGAATAAACAGTCTTTTTCTGTGTACTAAACTCTCCGCTCTGCACCGCTCTTCAGCTGTAAGTAATTGTTTATTTCATTTTTTTATATTTATAGCTATTAATGAAAGTTATTTATACAGTGTAGCTCATCACTCGGCTGTGTGAGACTAACGTGTGTTCTGACTGATTGTGCTGCCTGTCAAGCTCTACACAAAACTGTAGGGAGGATATTTTGATAGACTAAATCACACAAAGCTGAAGTCAGCTTTTTATTCACCAGCGTCTTATTCGAATTTTCCCATTCCACCTTAAATGATGCAGCCACTGAGGCACTCAGGCACCATTTAAGGTGGAACTGCTCATCAGAAAATGTTACCAGCATCAAAAGGATAATAATGTTACTGAGAGCTGTAGTGTACTGTTCATATTACACTGTTTACAAATCTGTTGACAGAACATAATTAACTGTAGTTAATCCTATTTTATGTGGCCGTGTAATTTCATTAATTTCTCCCTACAACAGTCATTGTTACTGTAATGTAATGGACAATGGAGTAGCATTTTAGGCTATATATTTAATGTTATATTGTACATAATATTAATATAACACAATATAATATAAGAGTAATTATCATAAATGTGCAATTAACTACAAAAAAATCTTAGTGTGGTCTCGGTCTCGACTACCGAAAGTCTTGGTCTTGACTCGGACTTGGACCTAGCGGTCTTGAGTACAACACTAGCTTCAATCCCAAGTCACTGTCATTTTCTCTTCGGTCTCTAAAGCCTCTTTTCCCCTGAAAAGCTAACAGGTTCTGAGCACTGAGAGTCCCTGTTCTAGTGTACTTCATAGGTCACAGTCTGCCACATGGTGCTTAGACCCGTTCCACACACACACTCTGGTGTGAGCGTCGCAGAACGTCGTGCTTTTTATTTCGGTGCCCAAGTTAACAGGTAAGCGCGTCCACACAGGCTGAGCAGCAGAAGCAGCCATCAAGTCCATTTTCCTGAGCACCACACAGAAAAACACAGTGCAATGGAAACAAAACCAAAACTGAATAAAATGTCCAATATGAATTCTACAATTCACCGCTGTTAACAAATGAAACACTGGTCAAACATTTCGTGCTGCACACAACGGCCGCAGAAAACGTATTCAGAGTTTTGTGCCATGTTTGAAGTTCAATGTGTTGAGAAGCAAACAGTCAAACCAAGTGTCCATCTCTTAAAACAGGTCATTCAGAGGTCATTTTCTTTCAGAAGGTGGCTGCTGAGTTTCAGATCGTTATTTCTTGACTCCTGCAGGTTTGCATCCAAAATGACTCTGTAGTTCTTGTAGTTCCTCCTCCGTGCTTTACAGAACCCTTAGTGCAGTTGAGGTTCTTCTCCACACAAAGAGATAATCAAAGCTTATCAGACCTCATGAGTTGTAAAACAATCAAATCAGATCTCATGGGTTGTAATCCAATCATATCAGACCTCATAGAATGTAGGCCAATCATATCAGAGCTTGTGAGTTGTGAGCCAATCATATTTTGATCATCAGTTTGACAGTTTGTTAAATGTTTTATCTCTCAAACTAATTCCATTTTGATCAACACTCTGGGAATATCACCTAAAGAACATTAAAGTTCACCAATGACTAAAAAGTTAAAGTGTCCAAATACTTTTTAATTGTGGTCACTGAACACATTTCCTGATAGATCTCTAATCTAGAATAATTGCCCAATCACAAGTTGGAAAACTGGAGAAGGTAAATAAATGTTTCCTCAGTATGGTGAACTAGCCGAGCTCAGTGCTGCGGAGCCGGGAACGCTGCATGAGCTTTTCACTGATTGGCTCTTTGAAACGAAAATCAGTCTGTCTGTCAACAGAATGGGGAGCAACAACTTTATGACAAACATGGAGCCACTGTCGTGGTCTTTCTTTGGAACCTGCTCCTGATTTAGCAGCACAACTAACACACAAACCCAGTTTGCAGAGTGATATGATGGGACCGTCTGGCCCTGCTGTGGAAAAGAGGCTCTGATCTCATCTGGGAGATGGGAAAATCCATCCATGCTAAAACAGCCTTTTGGTCACTGCAATAACAGCAAACATCAGTCCTCTACATGCCAGGATAGTCAGAGCCATGCAGGAGCTAAACGGTCCAGTTCCTACACTCACCCTCTGTACAGAACACCAAATATCCCCCTCATCAGGCCGGGAGAAACCTCCTCCTGGTCAGATGGAACGCCCTGATCCACATCAGAAGAATCCAGCTCGAGCGAAAGCTCAGTCTTTCTCTCTGAAACTGATGTTTCTCCATCTTCTTGTTGGTCTGAATCAGCAGGACGTTCAATCTGAGGAGCATTGAAGTCACTACTGAGGTTGTTTTCCAAAGCAGAACGTTCCATCTGAGCTCCAAACGCCTTCCTAGACTCCGTGCTGGAGCTTATGGCGCTAATATCTTCAGGTCGATTCAAAGCAAAGTCCTCTGGCTCCTCCAGACGGGCTTCAGCTTCTAATTCCTCTGCAAAACGGCTATGGTGGGTATAGCAAGGAGAATGGAGAGAAGTGCTGTGTGAAGATCTCACCATCTAAACTGAAATACGAACAAAACTAGACGTGCAGTTAACAGTGTGATCATCCAAAGACTGTTTCGAATCGAAGGCCAGGATAGTTAACATTTAGGAAACCCATGCATGCACAAATAAACCAACTGCACACCGCACTGCATGCAGCAAATCCAGAGAATTTCAGACTCACCCATTATCCAGAAGAGCCTGAGGAGCTTCCAGTTTGCCTGAGCGTAACTCCTCAGCCTCTTTCTCCTTAACTTTCTTCTCCAAACTGGCCCAGAGCGGACTCTCCGCTTCAGGAGTGGCCTTCGTCTTCAGATCCGCTCTGTCTACATCTTCATTTAGTGTCGTGTTAATAACAGGAGAAAGGTTCTCTAGGTGCAGTGAGGTCCTGGTGGGTGGAGAAGGAGACGCAGACTGTACCACGGATGGAACATCACTTTTATCTTCCACCTCTTTCACAATACTCGTTACCGGTTGTGCTTTAACGGGAATGGAGGCGTCTGGTTCACTCAGGTCAGGCTTCTTCGTGTCTTCTGCTCTGGCTTTATCTCCACTGTGAGGAAGAAACACAGTGAAGATGCTGACTTTAGAGGAGGAACATCTACCTGTGCGTACTCTGGATCATTTAGAACACAGCACTCACTTGTTCTGGGAAAATATTTGTCCACAACGAGAATGAAAAAGGTTAAAAGCTGGTCTTTAAAACAGACGTGACCACAGTCTCTATTCTGTACAGTCCATGTACATAATCACCGATTTCTCCTCATACACTGCATGCAAGAGTACCAATGAACTGATCAGCCAATCAGCTGTCAGAACGCCCCTCCCTCCATCACACTTACCCAACATCCACTTCGAGCAGAACTCCAAGCTCACTGTCCTCATTTTCCAGCTTGTTTGTTGTTTTATCGTTGGACGTTTCTTCTCCAGCGTCTCCGTCTTCCTTCTGTTCCTTCACCTTCTGCTCTAAAGAGGCCCAGATGGGATCCTCCGTCTGAGCCGATGGTTCTTCAGGAGGTCCTGAACGCTCCGGAGTGAGCCCAGGCTGGGGCGAGTCCGGCAGAGTTTGTGCTGATGATTTTATTTGGGTTTGGGGAGGGGTGGGGGGAGTGTCCGTGTTTCTGTCAGTGCTGGGATGGGTGGGTTTCGGAAGAGGCTCCAGATCCAAATTCAAAGGAATTTCATTCAAGCTGAGAGAAGAGAAAAAGAAAGAGAGGAACAGAGAGAAGAAGAGAGAGAATCAGAGCACGTACGGGCACAAAGGACAGGGACAATAACAATTTAGACACACAGACAGACAGACAGACAGATAAATAAATAAAGAGACAGATAAATAAATAGACAAATATATATATATATATATATATAAATACATATATATGTAGTGAGAGAGAGAGAGAGAGAGAGACAGACACACAGACAGACAGATAGATAGACAGACAGACAGATAGATGAATAAACAAATAAACAACAGACATAAATAAATAGACAAATATATATATATATATATATATATATATATATATATATATATATATATATGTGTAGCGCGAGAGAGAGAGAGAGAGAGACAGACACACGGACAGAGAGACAGATAGATAGATAGACAGATAGTGAAGAATAGTCACACTGTTTAATATTTATAAGTGACTCTCAGAACAGAAGCTCTTCATTGTGCTCAACAGTGTATATAAAATGTGGAGGTGTTTTTATCATGAAGTATTTGCATATATGCAAATTACAGCCTTCAGCAAACGTTATTTCCATTTTATACTCGTCCCGCAGCGTTTACAGCTGACCCGACTATCCAAACCAGCTCACACTGATACCACACACACTCCACACAACCTCCCACAGACAAACGCACTTACATTCAGTTATGTGTGTTATATGTAGTGTGTGTGTGTGGTGTGTGTTCTGTGTGTGTGTTAGGTGTAGTGTGTGTGTGGTGTGTGTGGTGTGTGTGTGTGTGTTGTGTGTAGTGTGTGTGCTGTATGTGCTGTGTGTGTGTTAGGTGTAGTGTGTGTGTGGTGTGTGTGCTGTGTGTGTATTATATGTAGTGTGTGTGTGGTGTGTGTGTGCTGTGTGTGTGTTAGGTGTAGTGTGTGTGGTGTGTATGCTGTGTGTGTGTGTTAGGTGTAGTGTGTGTGTGGTGTGTGTGCTGTGTGTGTGTTAGGTGTAGTGTGTGTGCTGTGTGTGTGTATTATATGTAGTGTGTGTGTGTGTGTGTGTGCTGTGTGTGTGTTAGGTGTAGTGTGTGTGGTGTGTGTGTGTGTGTGTGTTAGGTGTAGTGTGTGTGTGGTGTGTGTGTGTGTGTGTGTTAGGTGTAGTGTGTGTGGTGTGTGTGGTGTGTGTGTGTTAGGTGTAGTGTGTGTGGTGTGTGTGCTGTGTGTGTGTGTTAGTGTGTGTGTGGTGTGTGTGTGTGTGTGTGTGTGCTGTGTGTGTGTTAGGTGTAGTGTGTGTGTGGTGTGTGTGCTGTGTGTGTTAGGTGTAGTGTGTGTGGTGTGTGTGCTGTGTGTGTGTAGGTGTGTGTGTGTGTGTGTAGTGTGTGTGTGTGGTGTGGTGTGTGGTGTGTGTGGTGTGTGTGTGTTAGGTGTAGTGTGTGTGGTGTGTGTGCTGTGTGTGTGTTAGGTGTAGTGTGTGTGTGGTGTGTGTGCTGTGTGTGTGTATTATATGTAGTGTGTGTGTGGTGTGTGTGTGCTGTGTGTGTGTTAGGTGTAGTGTGTGTGTGGTGTGTGTGCTGTGTGTGTGTATTATATGTAGTGTGTGTGTGGTGTGTGTGCTGTGTGTGTGTTAGGTGTAGTGTGTGTGTGGTGTGTGTGCTGTGTGTGTGTTAGGTGTAGTGTGTGTGTGGTGTGTGTGCTGTGTGTGTGTTAGGTGTAGTGTGTGTGTGGTGTGTGTGCTGTGTGTGTTAGGTGTAGTGTGTGTGTGGTGTGTGTGTGTTAGGTGTAGTGTGTGTGTGGTGTGTGTGCTGTGTGTGTGTTAGGTGTAGTGTGTGTGTGGTGTGTGCTGTGTGTGTGTTAGGTGTAGTGTGTGTGGTGTGTGTGTTGTATTGAACACTACCTGTTCAAGCGTGATCATCAAAAATGGCTTTTTGTTCAACAGTGTTCTCTCACTACAGTACCCAGAATGTTCTGTCTATTCGGCACTAAACGACCTGCAGGGGTGAGTTTTCACCCTTACAGTCCGAGAAAAGGAGCCAGACTGAGGGCAGACATTCAGGCAGCCAGGCTAACTCGCTAACACTAGCTTTCAGCTGATTAACCTCCTGATCTGGGTCATTTCTGTGGTTTGAGTGCTCCATTCTTTCTACTGCAATGATGACTGGAAGACACTTAAGGCCATTGCACACCAGACATCTGGCAGCACAGCGCCACATAGTGTCACTGTGCAGAGCGCTGCAGGGACAGCCCAAAACACCAGGTTTATGTTCATATTTACACTCTACTCATATAAACGGAGTTGAAAAGCGCTCAGCATCATTCATCACGCTTGGCGTCCGTTTACTAGCTCATCACAGACTGGCAGTTTTGCTGCTAGCTGACAAAGGCTAGGCTAGTAACGTTAGCAGAGGTAACTTAGCCTTAGCATCTGTCTGTTTACCTAAAAGACTGGCTGCCTTCCTCTGTGTACGTTTCAGGCCACATATGTTCTGCTGTGGCTTTCTGGGGTTTCAATGTGGCTTCAATGTAATGTAGTGATGGCCAAATACTGCATGACGCGCTGAGAAACTGATCAGAGCTGTGTCAGCGCCGGTTTGCGTACCTCCATTAAAAACAATTTCACATTTTTGGGCAGTGTGTGACGCATTAGGTGTGTGGCGGCCTTTAGACTACTACAGCTATACTACACGGCTGTAGTGAGATTACATTAGCGATCTGCTTTTCTTCTGAATTCAGCTAACAATAAAAAATATTTCCTCAAAAAAAAAACAGTTGTAGTTTTCCCAAAAGTTCTGGAAGCATCATCAGAAGATTTTAGTCTTTAAACTGGCAAATCTCCCTCTAGAGACACAGCAGCGCTGCTGTAGGAGGAGATGTTAACAACAGATGTAGAATACTAAATGCTATTTAACTGTAACCATTAATAATTGATAATAAATTCACGTTTAATTTGTCTTGGGGGCGGGGCTATTAGTGGTTCTCTGTTTTTGGGCTTATCAGGGTCCATAATGTTGCAAAATCCACATCATATTCACTTTTACTCACTTCACTGTGCCTCTTACCTGTCCTCAGGTACAGCAGCCTGGGTCACATGACAAGTTTTGGACCAATCAGCCTGCCTCTTATCATCCTGACCCTCAGGTGGACCAGCCTGCGGAGATCTTTTCTCCTCTTTTCTCACACTTTTCTCCTCAATGTGGCTGACTATCGAGGAGACGGTCTCCTCTGCAGGAGCGGTCGCTATTCTAATCAGAACCTTCTCCTCGTCTGACCTGTTCATGTCTGCAGAGATAACGGCCGACTCAGCGCTCTGAGACCCCGCTTCCTCTCCCAGCCTCGGCATTTTGGCTGATTCAGGCCGAGGCTGATCTGATAACTGACCATGTTCTTCTACAAAGAGTTTAACTTCATTCAGGTTGGAAGAAATAAACTCTTCCTCTGAGTCTCCTTCCTGAAGGCCAGTCTGAGCTTCAGACAGCTCAGGAGCAGCGAAGGCCTCAGGCAGTGAGGGTTCCTCTGGAATAAGAGGAGCTTTGAGGGCAGATCCTTCTTCGGCCATGGCCTTCTCCTCAGGTTTAGAGGCTGGAGGTTGATGTGCAGTAAGCTGGAGCTCTTCTGGTGTGTCCTTCACAACAGGTTTAGGTCTTCCGACTGTATAAATCCAGTCCTCCTTAAAATCCGGCTCTTCTTCAGCCAGCGGCGGCTTTCCTGCCCCAGGTCTGTGCGGACGTGTCTTTGTGGAGCTGAAGGGCGGAGATTTGAAGACCTCCTGTATTGGTTTTTCACACACTTCTGAAGCCGTCAGAGAAAAAGGCCAAGGAGGAGGAGGAAGGGTCAGAAATTCTGCGTCCGATCCAAGAGAAACAGCGGCCGCTCTGCTCTCCGGATGCAGACTGAAGGACAGAGACAGCGGTCAGAGCGGAGAAAGTGGACACAGGAATGAGCTGAAGTTTAAGAAGCAGATAAAGTCCTGAGCATGCAGCAGATCAGAGCCGCACGATTAGAACACTTTCATCGTTATTGTGATATAATTTTCCACAATAAACACTTTGACC